TATATATATATATATATATATATATATATATATATATATATATATATATATATATATATATATATAAACGCATCGTATCGCGCAGCTGAAGAATCCCTTTGTAGATAGGAAATCATGTAAAAATATATTACGAAAGTCATACACGAAACTTTAGCGGCTAAAGGAAATATGGCCTAAAACTTCAAAGCTCGTTATCGTGAAACCACATTTTCAATGTAAACGCAATGACCATTGAATGGATGGATATTTTCCCTTTGAATCGAAGTTGTGTGCCATTCTCGATAAAGTAGAACTCGGATATCAATAAATTGTCGCACAATTATTTATATTATTATTATTATTATTATTATATATTATATCATATATTATATAATATATGTTATATATATAATTATAAATATATATATGTATATAAATAATACATATTATATATTATATATTATATATTATTATTATATAATTATTTATATTTTAGTTTAAACAAATTACGGTACTTTGCACACAAATGTGCAATCACGTGGATCAAAACGTATGTATTCGCGTAGTAACGTCAAACCTGCCAAACAGTAATACTAACCTGGCGTGCATCGCTTCATACAATTGAGAAGATCGAATTTATTTAGATTTTGTAAGATTTTTATTGTAAAACTCGCTCCAATAGTGTAATGTATACAAGCATTTTCCATGAAACAGTCTCTAAAGTTTGCAGGATTGTAAAATAAGCCTTTCTTGCGTGTAAGATGCTGCAACTATTAGCATGTAGTGGGCGTAATGTCAATCATCTTCGCCACAGTCTACCTTTCGGCGGACTCGGTCATTATCCGAAGGATCCCTATTGTGGGTGGTTTTCCACGCATATAGGTTGATCCGAACTTTTTCGGAACCCTCAAGGGTTCCATATTACATTTCAGGCATCCCCTGGAAGAAGAAGAAGAAGAAGAAGCCGTCGACCATCGATGGATTTTTAGGCGTTTAGAATTGCGGTAGCGTGCGTATGCGTAGATCTGCGAGCGAGTATGGGTTATGCGGTATGATGATTGTAATGCGATTGTAAAGCGTTTAAGAGCGAATAAAGAGGCGTGCGTTTAGACAGCAAGAGGATGACGAGAAGAGGAAGTGAAAAAGAAGAGGATGTGTAGTGAGTGAGTGCAGTGGGAAAGAAGAGGAAGGAATCAATTGTACATAATATTGTAAACATTGTAAACATTGTAAAAATTGATAAAATATAAAAAAAATAAAAATAAAATAAAATTGCACGAGCATGGTTATTATCAGAGACCATGCTCAACATAAAATTACAAAAATATATTCAATTACATGAATAAAATAAAACTGTAAGAGCACGGGTTATCGATAAAAATTGTAAAACTAATTGTACATAATCGCATGAAATATACCATCTGATTTAATATAAATAAATAAAATAAGTAATTTAATATAAATAAATAAATAAATAAATAAAAATATCGCCAGAATATAATAAAATTGTAAAGTACACGTTATATTAACAGTTAACAGATTGGTATTAACGATGTAAATACCGTGAATAAATATCATACGAATTTCTGGAATTTATCATTAAATAATTTCATAATGTCATTTTGAATAGGAATCAAGTGGCGCGTCTTCTCGCCATAGTACAAACCCCACGAACTCGACGCATCTTTCAACTCAATTTTCACGAAGACAGAGCTTCGAGTAAAAAAATGTTATTCTTTCTTTTCGACTTATTTTTTTAATAAACAAAGAACAAAGATTTGTATACAGAAGAGCCTTACGATATCTTACTATTTCTACGATGCGGGAGAGCCGAATAAGATGTTTAACGATGACACTGTTTAATCGAGACATCTGAAAACGTTACGATGCGTGACTAAAAGATCGTTACAAGTAATTAAACGCATAGTTAATTTTTATTATATTCTTATATCATCTACGCCAGTCTTGATGTTTTTAACTGTTTTCTTTGAAATCGAAGCGCAGTCACAAAAGTGTTATTTAAACGAGATAAGTTGTTCGATGGTAGAACACATGGAAGTAAGGTGGGGAAAAAGTAGAACATTTTATATAAGGAAACGCATAGGTAATTCTTGTTATAGTTTTTTTTATTAATTACATCTTTTTTTGTATTTTTTAAGTATCCTGCTTAAAATATTTTCGATAACATAAAATATAAGCAAATAAAAGCTATAAAACCAAGAACCCTGGGATAAAACATGAAACAAAAATTCATCATTCGTGTCCAACGATTCTTAAGATTTATCCGACGTTTCGTAGAACTGAATTGTATAGCTACGTTTTCGAAAATTCTCGAAAATAAGTAATCGAGCGACGTTGTTCTAGTAATTGTGTTATTAAACGAAGGTCAGCGTATTCCCAAGGCTTCCGGATCTGGTTCTAGGCACCACGTTGTCCGTGAACCTCACTAGTATTTCCGTGGTCGCCATATTTCCGGTGAGAAACTGTGGCAATGTTTCAACACCTGCTCGTGGTTGACGATCGAACGGATAACCCATGGGACGCGCGTCGGGATACTTCTTGTCTCTCAAGCCGCAAAAGCTGGCAGCATCCGTGCAACCGGTCGCCTCGTTCTGTTCAACCTACATATTGGAAAACAAGTTTTTTACCGTATCGTTTACCACGAGTTCGCGTTTCGCTACAGTTATCGGTACAATTAAAATTTTTACGCAAAGTATACGTACGGCGTCGCCGCTGTAATCCGACACCATAACGAAAAGTTCCATAGGGAAGCCCGCTTTGGTTCCTTTAGGCACCAACATATGTTGCGGCCATCCGCATCCACAGAAATTGAAAAGTTCCAGGCTCTCGCCGCCCACCGGTCTGTTCTCGTCCAAGTTACGGAACGTCCTTTCAAAGGGTATAGTTACCGAAGAATCCGTTGATTTCTGCTCGATCGTGTTTAGTCCTGGCCGCACTATAATGTTACAAGCGATCGAATTAAGCGATCCATCTTGTGTATCATACGTGTGTATAAAAAATAACTAAACGCATAGAACGAAAGTGGCGTACGTGTAACAGAGAATTTGTCCATCTCGATCATTAAATTCTTTTGTTGCTTGAAAGCGAAGGGTAGTCCACGCTCGTCTTCCTTCGGCGCGATGAAGATGCGCACCGTTCCCCGTTTCGGTTTGTTACCGCGATTGTTGATAATAATCGTGTACACGAAGTCCGTGTGATTCAGGTGAGTGAATTTAGCGAGCACTGCTCCGCGAGGTGCGAAATCGAGTCCTCGAGATAAGTCCACCACGCTTTGGGTCCAGAAGGTGTGCAAGACGTTGGGCTGCTCGTTCGTCGCTATTCTAACGCTGTCTACTTCGATGCCCGGGTAATCCAACTGCAAACGCCACCAAGAGAAACGTTGGCAACGTAAATATTTGCTTATAAAACGTAAAAGAAGAAATCGAAGCTGTATAAACTTGTACAAATGATGCGGTCGAAGAAAACGGGTTTCAGAAATAACTCATAAACGTGACAAGTTATAGATGTACGTATGTGCTGACCTCTTGGACAGTATACTCGGGCAGAGTGTTCTTATATTCCTGGAAAAGATCGTCGACGAAAGCGTGCCATCTGTAGAATATGGGGTCCCTCATGGCAGTGGCAGAGTCACCCATGATACCGAAATTTTCCTGCGAACGATATAAAACGAAATTAACTCAAAGATTACCATTGAAATGATCATTTTTGTATGAAACAAGCGTTCGAGCAGTGGCGCAACTGCGATATTACATTGTATAAATTGTATTATCAACGATAAAACGTCGTCTCATAAAACAAATTACTAGCAAAAACGTTGCAAAACGATCGCGATACAAGATTTATACATATTTCGATGAAATATATGTACCAAATAACGATGATCCGGATCATGGCAATAGGAGATAGCGACGTGGCCTAAATTGTGAACATCGCCGTACAGATTTGGATTCGGGGACAAGATGCTAGCTTCCATAATGTTCCCCAATATATCGATGCCGTCTTTTTGAGTCAAGGGTACGCGATCGCCCCTCGTATTAACCACTGCCCCGGTGTGAATAGCTTCGTATATACGATCGCGCCACCTCTCCAGATCTTGGATGTCGAAATCCAATTGATCCACCGGACGATTGATGTCCTTCAGAATGGCTCCGCCTGGGCGAGCAGGCCATGTACGGCCCGCAACGATGGAATCCAGTTTCGGGAAATAAGCTTCCGAAATCGGCTCGTGCCAATTAATGAACCGTTTCACGCGACCGAGCCGATTGCACAAACGCTCGCAGTTGTATCTGAAAGCGTAATAGACGAAACGTCGTTAACGTACGATCGTTCGAATCGATCGCCAGAATTTTTCACACGTTTATTAAACAGAACGGTTCGCCTAAAGCAAGCCGCCCTAAACTACTTTTGCAACTCTAACGCTGCGACGATTCTGTGAAAGAAACGTTAAAACGGTACTCGTAGACGTACCGCGCCATAATCTGTTGATGCATGTAATAGAAAAGTTCGCCGCGACGATCTTTGTTCACGATACTCATGTTGCCTTCGAATGGATAAACCAAATGCCAATGCCAGTGGTGCAGATTGATGCCAATGTCCTCTCTCCAGTATGCGACGCGATGTTCCTCGTCGAGGTCCGAGGCGGTGTAATCTCGGGGAATCTCGATTGGAATCTACGATCGAGGATCATTTTAACGAAACTCTTCGACCTGGATTTTCGTATGCATCGAACGATACCATCGGAATTGATCGGATTGAAAATACGAAGCATCGATTTTAAACAACGATTAATGCGGATACGTCTCGTAAAAATGTTTAGCGGACAATAAATCTCATTACCCTCGATCCTGTAGGTACGAGGTTGGCTTCCTCCTTGGCCCGCGTGAAAATTCCACCGTCGATATATTTATCCGGAAATACTTCGGTCAGCGGTGGTACCGGCAGATCCTTTGTATCTGGACGATGTAATATCGCTACGGAAAGAGCGTAAATAAACAAGTTCGGGTTGACGCGATCGCGGGAGTAAACTGCTACAGACAGAAAGTCCTCGTACGTCCTCATTCCTGTAAAATTGCAAATGATTAGATATAGGACGCGCAACGTATACTTTATAGTCGAATCGATTAAAACTAACTCGTATTCGTCGTATATAGAGGGGTGTAATTTCTGATTTTTAAGGTAAGATCAATTCTCGGGACAAACCGAAAGAGAATTTGATTTTTCCGTTATCAAAGTCTAGGAGCGAATTAAAAGCGCCGATCAACGAAGTTGTCGAAAAAATCGTGCTGCAAGTGATAAAGCGTGAAGTAAGTGTAAGATACGTGGAAGACTACGAACCCATGAAAATTTCAATAAGCCGAGCTGCTAATTTTCGGTGCGCTGGAATGAACAGCGAAAAAGGCTCGCGCCGTCCTAATTGCATGGGGATGCTAAGATCCGGAAGGGAGATCTGTTTCACAGGAAGCTTCGACTCGGTATCATCGGCGAAGCGGTTCAATACCTGCGTTGCTACCTGTCGATACCTGTCCGGCTAAGGAAATAGATACAAAAACACGTTATTGCGTGCCCGAAGTTACGCTTAATCAGCATTTTCCCAAAAATGTGTGAATTTACGTTTTTAATCGATTAAAACATCGTTATTATTGGCACAAGGATTACGAGATCGAGGATGACGCTGAAAGAATAAATGTCGTTTTAAGGAATCGCATAGCAATACCTACCAAATAATCGGCTGGTATGTCGAAAGCAACCTTCTTGTCTCCCTTAGGTACGTAGACCGGCTCGGCGGGTCGATCGAACAGGTACAAAATACCCGATTTATCGTTCGCCATCTTCGCGAATTATTTCTGTTATTACAAACTCTGTAACGATCGCACGCCGCTAAAAAACTGTTGCCTACGCTGACACGAACGAAAGCTAATTGCTGAAAAATAAATACAACACGGTATTTATAGGAAAATAGCGCAGGATACGGCGGTCTCGGCATCGACCGCAAAATCCGGCATCTCTGTCCAAACTAAACGAAACTGAAGCCGATTACTGATATGTCATTTACAGTACTTCGTTCTTCGCATTTCCTGTTTTCGAAGGAAACGAATTATCATCGTACGCGGGTGATTGTAATCGTTTTTAATAACAGTTCACAGAACTCGTGCGCTAAACAAACGGTTTGCGATAGAACGATTTTATGCATTTATGGCAAAAACGAGTAGATGTATAGTTTGCCTAATGTAGAAGACCCTTTTAACATAAACGAAAAATCTTTCGGATATTTACTCACGACACTATCGTACATCCTTCTAATAATATTGTTTATGCTACGATACGATGCTTTTGCGTTATTTTAGGAACGACATTACTCTCGACATTTCTCTATTGGTCGAACGAAAAATCGTTGGTCCAATTATTATACATGCGACTAATGCATGTATATGGTTCTTGGAAAAATGAGTAGCTCGATACGATCGGAATTGATCTTAACTATGCAAAAGATCTTGTCGAACTGGAATTGTTTACGAAGCATGTAATAGTCGCAAGATACTCAATCTTGGCATATCTACGTAGGTAAGGTTGATCAACAGATCGATATCCATTACATAATATATCCATTACATTGTATAATATTAGCAAAAAAAGTATCCGACTGCATACGATTTCTAATAATATCTTATAGTGTTCTTACGCAATCGCATAGTAATCGATATAATAATAGTAACCCTATCGTTTGTTAATAGCCGTAATCGTAAGTCCAACTAAACTTGTCACATTTGTTGCTTTATGTATGCATACATATTGCTATACATGCTTATACGTGCTTTCGGCCTTATTTCTCAGAGAATCGGGACAAGATATAGATCGATTTGTAGCTAGAGATATTTTCTAGTGCGGCATAAAAATGGCATAATGGCATAAAAATGCTTGGATTTCATGGCTTGTATATCGTCAATTTTTAGCCTACATTTTAACATATATTATGGCATGTAATTTCGTCGAATTTCGTCGGTAACTTTATCAGTCACTCTACCTTATCGTGTCGCTACTGAAAATGGTGCACTGCACTATTGGAACTTGATACAATGGAGATTGATTGGAACTTGCACAATATCCGTTGCGTATAAGTTTCAGTAACAAGTTACACGTATCCGGATCGAAATAGATATGACTCTTTATTCCTTCGATTCGAGGTCTTTTATAGTACCGTAATTTTGGTGGATCCAGGGTAGAGTTTCACTTTTTCTTGTCGATACAAGATGCGTCATCTGGAGCAACAGGGTGTGCTTTCTTGGCGATACGGTGTGCGCCACCTGAGGATAAAAGATTCGTCTTCTCTATGATAAGAGATGAGTCTTCCTTGTAGATAAGGGACGAGTCTGCCTTGTAAATAAGGGAAGAGTCTTCTTTGTAGATAAGGGATACGTCAATTGGTGACACGAGATGCTCGCTGTTTATTCCGCCTGTTTGTGTAGACTGTTTGACATTGACAGGTGTCTTTGATAAAATTTCTTCAAACATTTCATTATTTTCGTCTGCTCTCGATTTCTTTCCGCCTAGAATTAAAGCAAAGAAACTTCACAACTGGAATAAACGTTGCAATACCGATTACTTATATTCATGTTACACACCTTTTAATCTGTTTCATGAAATTAATTAGCTCGACACACAACAGTAATAAATTAAGAAATAAATATCCATTTTTAAATGATTCGTCTCAAGACTGTCGAATACAAGTTTAAGCGAAAAATGAGCTGGACTATTATCGTATGGTATCGAAAGAAAATCATTACGGAAGTCATATTTGCAAATTAAACGATCAATAACATTGTTAAAAAGGAATTAATTGATATAAGAGATTATTATTTTCGTATTAGCGTTGCGATTATACATAAATAATATTCTCTTGTTGCAAGCTGTTCCTATTCGAAGTAGATGTATTTGTATTTTGTATTGATCAAACGTGGCAGTACCTCTGAAGCGAAGGATGCGTATGGTTCGGAAAGAGTGATTAAGAATACAATTGACCCGATATCATTTAGGATAAATCAATTTCGTTCGAACTGTGTTTGTTATACATCGTGAAGTATTTTATTTTATTATCGACGAAGTGCCTCCAACAAAATAAAATCGAAATGATGAAACAACGAAAAAGTAATAGAAGTAGTAAACTTGCTCGAATGAGCGAAGAGGAACGGGCTCGTTATATGCAACATCGTGCTGAATTTGAACTAGAAGCTCGAAGGCGTAAACAACAATTAATTGCAACATACATTAAAGTACAAGACTTAGTGACTTGGTGCCGCATACATAGATCTTTTTCAAATTCTGTAGTTGCGTGGAAATAAACGTGAAATAAACAAGAACGATATATTTCGCGTACTTTCAATTTGACAAATCATTTAACGTATCAAATGAATATTCATTCGATTCGTATTATTTTGCACGCAGTATTTACAGATAGAAAAATTATATCGTTACAGAATAAATTAATACACGAGAAAGCGTTTTCGAAATTGAATACTGCGAAAATCAATGAAACATGGAGACTCGTTTTGAGACAAATAAAATGCAAAGAAATTTATGACAAGGTGAAACATCTTTCCGAATCCTTCGATAGAATTATAAATTTAAAGGACAGAACAATTTGCCAATTGCAAAGGGAATTGGAAGTAACGGATCAAGATCACAGAAAACTGCAAGAAGCTCATATCGAGTTGATGAATGATATAATCGGTATTCTTCAAACTTACGCTTGGATTTTAGTGCTCCAATATATCAATGATTTGTAACATGATCAATCTTTTCTTCGTGTAGGAAAATACAAACAAAAGTTGCAGTACTTGCACGATATATTCAAATTGAATGATAATAAGTCGAATGCATTGGAATTAGAATGTTTGAAAAGTAAAATGGAACAAGTCTATAAGGAAATGCAGTCTAATTTAGTCAACAAAATTGGAAAGTTGGAGGAAGATAAACTTACAGCAAAGACAAGACACGTTATTAACATTCGTAATATTTTAATTTTGGTAATGCCACAAATGTAGTTCGTAATTAGATTTTAAAGAACCGATAATAGATTTTATTGTGTATTAGGAAGAAGACGAAATGTCGAATCTGTTACGTATATCATCTGAAAACATAGAACATCTTTGGGAACAATTGAATGGAACGCTTGTCGAATATGAAAGAGTTACTATGAATAAAAAAAAGCAGTATGAATATTTAAAGAAACAAGACAGTATCTATCAACAATGCATACTACAATATCCAAAAATACATTTGCAATTGCAAAATGCTGCTGAAAGTTTAAAATATAATATACAGATCTTATCGTTAAAAAGAGACGATCGAGTTGGAAACCTTAAAAAGAAAAATTCATACATGAAGAAAAGATCAAAAGACATGAAGCAGTGTTTTACTGCAGCTCAAGCTATAGACTTTGTACAATTAAAGAAACTGACTGTCTTTAGTAATGATGCAATAAAGGTTACACAGTATATATTTTTCTTCGCAATATGCCACAATATTCAAATTATACGTTCTATAATTTTATTTTTAGAATTTGCGGAAGAGTGAGCAAAGAAGTTCTAACATTCTCGAAATAATGAAAATATGCTCTAATTTGGAATCATTTCTCGTTAATTTTAGGAATTATTTCATAGAAGGCGAGGTAAGACTTTCTACGCTATTATTATAAGGTATAATAAAAATGTTTCGATAATACTTTAAAAAAGAAAAAATGTTATAGGATCCTAATTCGCATGAAAAAATTGATAAATTTTGGGAAAAGTATAATGACGCGGCAGCGAACAATATTTTTCTAAGGAAGAAATGCAAAAAACTTAGTGTAGAAAACAGAAGGTTAAGATACAAGTTACAAGCCCACGTTGTAACAATTTCTGGAGTACCTGAAATATATTTAAATGCTTCAACTTCGGTTTGAGAAATGTTTTTATACTGACAAATACATTAGAATATAAAATATTTCATACAATATTATGTACTTATGTGTTATTTATATCATAGCAAATTAACGATGAATGAAAATTCCACCTCCTAATTCTAAATATTTGTAAGGTCTTGCACGAGTACGACCTTTCATAGGATGAAAGAAAATTTTTTCTTTCGGTACTATATTTTCTGTTTCTACATAAATATCGAAACAAGCTCTTAGCCGTTGCAATTGCGCAGATAAGGTGGGCGGTTTTGTCCACATAACGTTCACTTCTCTTTCAATGTCTCGTAGAATGTCGACAGCAACTGGTACCATAGGATGTATACTTATATCAAATATTGCCGCAATCTTTGGATAATCAGGTTTTATAGCAATTCTTGCTGTTAATTCATCTGGAATGAATATATCTCTCGTTAATAAAATACTGAAATAAAAATTTTAATATAAAATAAGTTTTAAATATCTTACTGTTTCCACGTCGAAGGACAGCTTCATAAAATATGTCTAATGATGTCACTAAACCCTGTTGCTGAAGAGCAGAATTCGTAGAAGTAGAATAAACGTTCCAAGATATTGTTGTAAATTTTTGTAGTGTTGTATTAACTTTTTGTGGTAAAGTGTCATTTGTAATAGCAAGAAGAGATAAATTTCCAGATTCTAACTGTCGGATCTCCATGCATAATTCCAATCTAGCTTTTAAACGTCTTTTAATCTCTCTCAGTACACTTTCAACACTATCTTGAGCTATTTCGCAACTTGTAACCTAAAATCATATATAAATAACTTTATAATTTGGAACATTTTGAAATCATAAAATACATATTGTAAAATACGTATACTACAAAAAATATTATACCTTCTGTTCACGGGAATCGGGTGATATGAAATTCAGACCAGCCATCCTTTGTGCCCATTTGTATGGAATTCCCAATCCGAGCGATGAAAAATTACCCAAATTATATCGACTTAGTTGATAATAATTAGCTGGGTTTGGACTTTCTAATCCTAAATCTCTTGGATACAATTCTCTTAAAATTGATTCTGATACAAGCATATCTCTGCAAAATGAATATACAAATTTTTGGAAGGATATAAATATAACCAACATATATTTATTTATGTATAAAGAAATATCATACCCAGTACTATTGCTTCCAACGCCTTCGGTTTTCAATTTTGATTCTACTGTAACTACTTTCAGAAACATTATGTAAAAGAACTGTAATGTCAATTTTGTTTCATCTGAAAATATTAATGTTTTAAAATAATTTACATTTACTTATGAATATGCATTATTATCAAAACTCACTTTTTAATTTAATAACTATTTTCACATGTAAGGGATGCCTTTGAAGCAGCCTTAATCTTTTTTCTTCTTGTCTAGCTTCCCTAGATAATCTATGGTGTCTCTTTTTATGGATATGCGTTTCTTCTGTAATACTCTCAGATAATGTTTCAGGATCTGAATCAGATTCTTGTAATCCTTCCTGATTATTTGCACGCTTCGCTTCTTCCTCGTCGCCTTCGATTTTTACAATTATGGTACTGTCTGTAGAAAAATTTATATAAAAATAATGAATAATATGTAAGCAAAAGTTTAGCAATATGAAACGTACCATATGCATCTCTATATGCTGATGCTTTTGCATGAAGAACATATAATGGTGATGCAAGTAATGTCGCTTTGTGATGCTCTTGCCTGATTCTATCCAATGGTAACCCAAGACTTTCTTGGAGCGGTTTACTAGCCTAAAATATAAAATAGTTATTTTTTGTTCTCTATATATTCGAGACTACTGTAATAGATAATGAGCTTATTACTTCTAATATCGAATAAAGTTGTGGTGCCAGATTGTCGAGCCGTGATTGTTTAGATTCTATGTTTAATGCTACTGCTTTTTTACTTTCCGTTAATTCGTCGCATAAAGCAGCAAGCTGTTTTCTTTGCGTTAATTCCCACTCCAAACGAGCCAGTCTCAGCTGATGCGGATTATGTTTTGCAATATCCTAAAAATATTAATTTATAGCATTATAGAAACAAGAATAATACATCTTACTATAAACTGTTTTACTATTCACACTTACAGGTCTAGAAATACTTTCAGGAGCTTCTTTATAAAATTCTTCCTCTGGTACAAGTTGTATCAGTTCATCTTTAGACCTAAGCATAATCATATTAATTTTATATACAAATTACATTTTCAAAAGAAAATCAGATACTAGAAAATATTTACTTAAACTGAAGACATTTAAGAACTTCCTTCTTTAAGTGCATCACTTCGTACAATAAATTCTGTAAATGTAAATGTCTACTGTCAACACTACTTTTCGAAGACATCAGAGAATCTCTTGCAAATTTTGTTCGAAACTTTTCCATTCTATTTAGTTTCTTAAGTTCAATGAATGATAAGGATGTTTGAATTTGAAGTTCGCGTATTTCTTCTTTGGCCTGAAAAAAAATGAAATTTTGAAGTTCAATATAAATCAAACTGATACAGAAATTATAAGTCTCCGATATAAGTATAAACAATTACATCTCCACTCATTTTTAGTTTTGCTATTTTATTCATAGCTTTACGTATATCGTCACAAGTTGATAAGAAGCTTTCAGAATCATTTTCTGACAATCTTTCTGTGGCCTCTTTTTCTTCATAACTGATTATAGCCTAAACATAAAAATATATTTTAATTAGATACGATAAAAAATCAGTTAAAATCATACATACCTTATACGTATCACCATCTTTAAGAGACATTCCAGAATTCCCACTAACTGACTTTCTTCTTTTCTTTGGATTCTCGGAATCAGTTTCTTTACCCATTCTATTTACAAACCTTAAAATATACAAAAAATTGTAAACGGGAGAGATTTATAATTTGACATAATACCTTCATACAAAGAAAGGAATGTAATACAGAATTTATACAACTTAATAACTTAATCAAAATAAATATTATAACTGTGTATGATCACTTCTTTATATAAAATATAATATTACCTTAAAATTTTGTTACACGTCCATGTTGCATTTTAACCCACGCCAATACAAACTGGTATACCGGTGAGGTTATGTTTCTTCTATCTACAATTTCCAAAATATTCGCTTATTATTACAGGCTATATTTATAATTATTTTTGTTTGAATGTGTGACACTAATTTATAGAATATTTTTTAAATTTCTAATTGAAAAGCAAAAAACAAAAAAACATTGACCCCGACGTGATTTGAACACGCAACCTTCTGATCTGGAGTCAGACGCGCTACCGTTGCGCCACGGAGTCTTCACACAAAATTCTTTTAATATGAAATTTCTTTTCTTACATGTTTAGTTCAGAAAATGTGAGTAGTCTCATTTTTTTAAATTTAGAAGTCCATTCACGACATTTATTATATTAATAATACAGTATATTTGTTTATTGACCAAATTCTTATCGAAACCATGGATGCTTGTATTCTGAAATTAGATAATAATTAACATACTATTGACATACTATTTTCATTATACTATTTCTATAATTAAACACACTCTCATATTTATAAGAACATTTATATTTGCTTTTTGTGTAGATTTAGTGGAATTTGTAATGAATACTTTTAGAAATAAAACATGTTAAATTATAAGTTTTGAATCTTCTTTCAGCTTCCGTTTCTGTCCTTTCTTCTCGGCAAATAGGAAAATTGGGGTTCTCCAACTGGACGTTGATTCGTCGGATGGTCCGTCTTCCGGTTTGCAGCTCGATGATGAACTCAGGAACTTAAACGAGAGAGAAGTCTGAGATTTAGGGAAGACCGAGGATTTAGGGCTTTCTGTCCTGAAGGGTTCAGAGTTTCTACTCTGTCTACATAAAATTGGAGAAGATCTTTCAAGAGGCTATGTGATTTCTGCATTCTCCAATTAGCCTCGCCAACAAAACTGTTATCGAGGAGTTTCATGGGAACTCTCTCTCTCTCTCTCTCTCTCTCTTTCTCTCTCTCTCTCTTTCTCTCTCTCACTCTCTCTCGTTATTTCTCTATCTCTTCTAAGCTATTCCGTCTGGATGAAAATATACATAAGCTATGAAATATACAATTATGACCATAATATCGTATTTTATTTTAGAATTTCTCTCTTACCACTATTTGTCGGAGATCATAGTACGGTGTAGCGCCATCGTAATTCGTACCTATGTTCACGTGGTCACGCAACACATATACATATGTCTCTATGTTTGTTTATATAATACATGCCTGTACGTTATATACGTTAACTTTGAATTTGAATTCGAGTAAGCGTCTGTTATTTCTTTTGTTTTTTTGTTTAATGTCGCATAAACTAGATGTTCATTAATGACCAATAACTGAAGTAGTTGAAGTAACTGAATCAAGAAAAGGAACAAAAAAACAAGTTTGTTAACGATAACGTGGTGTTAACAGTAGCTTGTTAAATAAGTTGAATTCCTCTAGAACTGACGAAGTTTATCTTATACAAGATATAAAAAATAAAAACTAAAATTACAATTTTCTACATAATTTCATAAACAGTGTTGTGATAAAATGTATTACACATAAACATAAGTCATGATTGTCAAGCAATGTATATTTCTCTCTAACCTCTAATTAATTATTTTTACTTTCTTTATATTTGTCTGACACAAATTGTGTAATGTGAGTAAAAAATATATCTTATATTTAACGTTAAAATGGCTGAAGTTAGTGGACGTGGTCAAAATAAAAATAATAATGAAATGGAAGTTGATGAAGAAAATGCTACTATCGATACGGATGAAGAAGGTGGACTTAAAATAGGTGACGATATATACATTCCACCACCTATCACAGCATTTCATGAAATTGATGTTAATGGTCCTAGACTTATGATTATAAAGATTGTGAATGAAAACTTTAAAAGTTACGGTGGTACTCAAACTATTGGACCATTCCATAAGGCAAGTCGTAGAAGTTTCTATGAAAAAGTGTGTATCGACTAATATTTGAATTTTCTTTTCTTTAGTGTTTTTCAGCAATTGTTGGCCCCAATGGTAGTGGCAAAAGTAATGCCATAGATTCAATGTTATTTGTATTTGGATATAGAGCTAGTAAAATTCGGTCAAAGAAGCTATCGGTTTTGATACATAATTCTAGCGAACGTCAGAATATCAATAGCTGTACCGTATCTGTACACTTTCAGCAAATCATTGATAAAGTATGTTATTCATTAGATCACATTCTACTTAAATGAAAATGTTTTCTAGGATATAAATATTTTGTTATAGCCTGGGTCAGATTATGATGTTGTGCCTAACAGCGAGTTTAGCGTATCGAGGACAGCATTTAAAGATAATTCTTCACACTATGAACTTAATAGGAAAAGGGTGCAATTCAAGGAGATCTCAAAGCTTTTGAAGTCCTACGGTGTGGATTTAGATCATAATCGTTTTCTAATCTTACAGGTATGAAATGCAATGTTATTGCATTATTATTTTTTGGTAATTTATAAATACTGTGATATATATAATATGAGAATATTTTGTAGTCTTAGTTCACACCAACTTTATATTTTATTGTAATTGCTTTCCATTGAACTATTATGTTAGGGAGAAGTTGAGCAGATAGCAATGATGAAACCTAAAGCACAGAATGAAAATGATACAGGTATGCTTGAATTTTTGGAGGATATAATTGGGACAGCACGTTATAAGATACCGTTAGAAAAATTATCAGAGAAGGTAGAAATGCTATCAGAATACAGACTTGAAAAGTTGAACCGTTTGAGAATTGTTGAAAAAGAGAAAGCAGCTCTGGAGGAACCTATGCAAGAAGCAGTGCAATATTTAGAATTGGAAAACACAATAACACAGATACAACATCAACTTTTCTATTATAAGAGGTAATTTGTTAGTTCCTATATACAATTTGTTTTATAAAAAGATTTTACTACATTAGAAAATTGGTTTTGGTAGATTTCAAACCATGAAAAAATTAGAACAACGAGAAAATAAAGCTAATGAATTAGATAAAGATATTGCAAATCTTGTAAATGAAATGAAAGAAGTTCACGAAGAAAAGAATAAGCAAAATAAAATAATTGACGAAAAAAGCAAGAAATGGGATAACTTGCAACAGAAAAAAGATGAAATTTCAACTCAGTTTAATAGCATTCGCAAACACGATGAATCACTCCATGCCGAATTAGTGGAGACTAATAAACGTCGGAAAACTAACATCGCAACATTAAAATCAGTAAGCTATGCAACTGCACTTTCTACAACGAAGAAGTTGAAAAATATGTAGGATTTAGATTAAATAATTCAATTATTAAATGTTATTTATAGGAAAAATCGAAATTAGATGAACTCAGTTCTATACCTGATAAAAGCAAAAAAGGTATTCAGGAATGTGAACATCTTATTGAAATTCACATAAAAAAGAAAGAACACGAAGAATCGGTATTTGAAAAATTAATGATCGGCTTGCGCGAGAAAACTGAACCATTATTAAATGAACGTTCTGCACTGGAAAAGGAATTAATATCTCTAAGAAAAAATGTTGACGAAGCTCAAGCAGCTTTCAATATTGCCAAATCTGAATATGAATTATATATTTCCGTAGAGGCAACAGAAAGAGAAAAACTAAAAAAGTTGCAAGATTCTTTAAAATTAACAATAGATACTTTAGCGGACAAAGAGCGTCAGTTGAAGAATTTAGAAGAAAAAATTCCGAGTAGTCAACGAAATTTGACACAAGCGCAACATGCTTTGGAAAAAATAAAGCAGAAAGAGATCGAAGAGACTACAAAATTGAAGCGTATGAGAATATCCTTTGAAGAACAAAAATGCGCGATGCAAGCAAGTAAATCAAGAAATAGAATCATAGATAGTTTAATGCGGGAAAAAAGGGATGGAAGACTTACTGGTGTATTTGGCAGATTGGTAAGGAAATAGACAAATTATGTTTTTCACGTATAAAGACATTTTTATTCGTAACATGTTCAACGATAAACATTATGGAATAATTGAAATCATTGACATTCTAAAACATACTAGATCCTTTTTAACATTTTTTGAACCAGGAGAAATATTTTGGTCCCTATACGACAGGTATCTTAAATAATTTCTATTGAACTTTCTGAACAACAAAGATGCCTGTCATAAAGCAGACATCAACCAGATTTCTCCCGTCTCGTATATCATCCTCTAAAACTTAATTAAATAGAAGTGTCCAATGCTAAAACCTATTGTTTATTTAGTTATGTTGGCCCCTGCCGAAGTTTAATAAATTTTTGTAATACTTGATCCTACTAACCTATACGTAGGGTGACCTTGGAGCCATAGATGGAAAATATGACGTCGCGATATCAACAGCTTGTGGTCCTTTGGACAATATTGTAGTTGACACAGTGTCGACAGCTCAAGCATGCATATCATTTTTACGTAAAAATGATATAGGACGTGCAACGTTTATCGCTCTGGAAAAACAGCAACGTTTGTTAGAACGATCCAAACAAAAAATACAAACACCTGAAAATGTGCCGAGACTGTTTGATCTGATACGTGTCGAAGATGAGAGGGTATTGCCGGCGTTCTATTATGGATTGCAAGATACATTAGTAGCAGATAATTTAGATCAAGCAACGCGTATCGCGTACGGTCACAGACGTTTTAGAGTCGTTACACTGAAGGGTGAATTAATTGAACTGTCAGGTACAATGAGTGGTGGAGGAAGAACAGTGTTGAAGGGTAGAATGGGGCAAAAGGTTTTAAGGAACGAATTATCTGCAGTCGAAATTGAAAAACTGCAAGCAAATTTAGACAAAATACATACAGAGTGCGCTAATATCAGGGCCGAACATCAATCTTTAGAAAATCAGATTCATAGTTTGAATGTAGATTTGAAAGATATGATTGTTGAGAAAGAAAAATTGTGTATCCAAGTTCAAACATTGCGAGAGCAGGAACCATCCTTGCGACGGCAACTGAAAATTCAAGAGCAAAAAGTTGCAGAATCAGTTGTAGATCCAAAAAAGGTTGAACAGCTGAAAAAAGGGACGAACGCGGCTGAAAAATCTTTGGAGAAAGTGAAAGGGAATTCAACGTCTGTTGAATCTGAAGTACAGAGTATCAATAGAAAAATAGAGGAAATCTCGGGAAGTCGTGTAAAAGATCAGCAAAAGGTCATATCCAACTGCAACAATACGATTGAAAAAGCTAAAGCAGAGATTTGCAAGTTGCAGGTTGCAATGAAAACATCAGAAAGGAATGTGAAGAAAGTCGAACAACGCATAAGTAATCTTGAAACTGACGTACAAACTTGCGAGCAAAGACTTCGTGATATTCAAAAAGAGAAGGAAGAATTAGAGGTACAGGCGAAACAGTACCTACAGGAAATCAATGAGCTTGACGAAGCTCTTGTGGAAAGAGACACAGCTATGTCATCTTTCAAAGAAGAATTGAACGCTTTGCAAGCGCGGGAGAACAAAATGAGAGCCGTTAAAATCGATTTAGATCAACGAATGAAAGAATGTAAAAGTGAAATAAAAGCGTTAAAACAACAAATTCCAGAGTATACGCGACGAATTGCCGAATTAAAGCTTCAAGCTATACCTGGAGAAGAATTAATGGTACTGGAGGAATTAACCGATGAACAACTTAGCGAGCTGGATGAGAATACCCTTCTACATGACATGCAAAAAGCTACGAAGAAATTACCGAGCGATATTCCAAATATGCAGGTTATCGCGGACTATAAAGAGAAAGATGCACTGTATTTGCAACGTGCAGCGGATTTGGAGAAAATCACTGGGGACCGTAACAAAATGCGAGATATTTACGAAACTGCAAGACGTCGTAGAATACAAGAGTTTCTTGCTGGTTTCACTATAATTACAGATAAGCTAAAGGAAATGTATCAAATGATCACGTTGGGTGGTGACGCAGAATTGGAGTTGGTCGATTCCTTGGATCCTTTTAGCGAAGGAATCGCTTTTAGCGTAAGACCGCCTAAGAAATCCTGGAAAAATATTTGCAATCTCAGCGGTGGTGAAAAGACTTTGAGCTCCTTGGCTCTGGTGTTTGCACTGCATCACTATAAACCGACTCCCCTCTATTTTATGGATGAAATCGATGCTGCTTTAGATTTTAAAAACGTCTCGATTGTTGGAAACTACATCAAGGAAAGAACGAAAAATGCACAATTCATAATAATATCGTTGAGATCGAACATGTTTGAGCTAGCGGACTATCTCGTCGGGATATATAAAACGTACAATTGTACGCACAGTGTTAACATGGATTTAAGAAAATATTACGAAAAAAATAATATCGCGCCTCCAACACAAATTACCTCGAAAAACATTTATTCTAGTCAAGTACAGAAATTCAGCCTTCAGAGTCAGGTTAAGGAGAAAAGTATGACACAACAGACAGATAATGCTAAAACTCCAGAAAAAAATCAAGAGAATAGAGACAATACTTTCAAGTAAGTTAAAAGTAAAATCACTAGAAAATTCATATTTTTAACCGAGCTTTTGCCGGTATAGTTTAACGGGAGCAATTTTATTTTCTTGTCTTTTTACCGTGAAAAAAAGGTTTAATTCTGAATCTATGGGATTTTTTTAGTTCGCTTACATTGGGATTGTGCCCAACACCGCAGAAGACACCTGCACAAAAACGGGTACATCCTGCAAATGATGAAGAAAACGCAGACAATCGGGCTGTCGGTACGAATTCGGCGAAAAAGAAAGATGCGATAAAAAAGCGAAGAATATAAAAAGTGTAAAGTTAATCAAATATATAAAGATATAATTCGTAAAGGATGTACAATATTTTTATGTAAATTTAACGTATGTATTAAAGTAAACTACATATATAACATATGTAATTCTACTATTAAATTCTTACCAAATTTTAACGATACTTTTTCGTTCTGATTGTAAAAACTTCCGATCCCACATCGACTTTTGCCTGCCTAGAAGTATTTTAAATCCCGGGCTTACCGATCAATTTTATCGATATCCATTTTCACTATTCTTTTTTTGTGCGAAGTCTGTTGTAGTGAAGGTTGTCGGTAGGAAACTAGCGAGATATACTTGTAGGAAAAAGGAGAGGAGGACGTTTGACGGTGGGGCGCATGTGTGATATAGGTAATATCGAGTTACGAGATTAGAATTTGAACAGTCAGTGTTTGAAAGTGACAGAAATAATGTCTACAAAGAGGGAGCAATTCGTAAATGATGATTTTGAGAGGGAAGCTACGAAAACCTCAGGTGTGAATAATCATCGATTACTTTATGCGAAACATTTTTTGTAAATAGTTGGTGACAAAATTGGTTGACAGTCATAAATTCTACCGTTGATTCGAAGATCTTTTCAAATCGATCGATGTGAATCTAATTTGACTAAAAATTTAAAAATATTACAATAAAATGTTCGAAAATATTTATGTGAAGTACCAGTAGCTGAAACGCAGTCTATTAATAATGTTACGACGGTTTAACGACAGTTCTAGTTTACTCTGATATCTCTAAAAGCTATCAAAAGAACGTCAATAGTACAAATAAATTTTTGTTTGATACTTAGTAATTGTTGCGTGCTGGTCTACGGATATATATGGAGTTACTTAAACGTCTGTTATCTAGTAATAAATAGTGTATGGATAGTGATGCAAATTTTTATTGTTCTCACAAAAACTAAAGGTAAAGTTAAGCAGGTTTCAATCATCGAATAAAACTAAATATGAAATGTAAGTTCGGTGAATTTTCGTTGGAAATTTTATTTAGTGTTATTTTAATATATACGCATATATCATAAACAATTGAAATCCTGTGTTGATTAGTGACAGACTTCGAAAGATTGCTCTTATAACATATGGAACCGAATTACGTGTAAAATTTTTTTAAATAAATATAATATAATAATAAACGTAATATCCATTATATTAGTATACATATAGTTTTCTTAAACTTCGCAAATCTGTCTGGTTGCGACATCTTCGCGATAACTGCAATTGTGTAACTCGAGCGATATCAGCGTAATAACTGGACGAATTATTTTTTAAGCAATTTACTTCATATTCTTGCGTAATTTCTGACACAGAGGTTTACCGACGATGAAACGTTTTTAATATTTTAACACTGTATTATTAATATTGTAATACTTTTCAACACCCTGTCTCAAACTTGCAAACGCCAATTCAACGATACAAGATCTATGAAATATAATTTCTTTTTTATTAATCTATCAGTCTCGTGTTTTTATGACAAATCGAATTGTAAATAATAGTGGTTTGACAACTGTCAAATTATTTTTGCTGTTCATGATTCTTTTAGCAGAGCTGCGTTTTTAAACATCTCTATCAATTTTGATTCACCAAATAAGAAATTTTCAAACTATTCTTACGCGTTCGTACAAGATTTTATAAATCATCGAATGGTAGCTACGCATTATGTTATATTGCATCGATCTTATCAACGATATCATCAAACATACAAAGTGATATCGATAGAGCAACTGATAAATCCTTAGAAATATATATATATCGGTTTGCGAAAATTCGAAGAAAATTCAGTTTTAATTAAAACTTTCTTTAAATTTAGTTTTACATCGATACACAATCGTAGCTCGTATCAAGGATTAATTGGCAAAATAAAAATTTAAAATAAAAGTCTTTCGTGACACTGCATACATGTTTGCTCATGATACATAATAACGAATACATATTCGCATAGATATAGTTCACCTGTTCAAAGTACCCTTACAATCTATGTATACCATTTGGCGGTGGTACCACGCTTCTCTAGCATGTTATTAACCAATCAGCAGTCGACTTATCGTTTTCGGAGAATATAACATTCACGAACAAATATTTGTTATAAGGAAATCCAGAATAATCATTTCTTGTCAATCTTTGTTAATCAATTGTTGGCTAATCGATCTTTGTTAATCAATGTTTCCTAATCAATCTCTGTTAGTTAATCTTTGCTAATCGATCTCTGTTAGTTAATCTTTGTTAGCCAGTATTTGTTAGTTAATCTTTCCTAGATCATCCTTGACTGTCTATCTTTGCTAGCCGGTATTTGTTGGGCAATCTTCTCTTAGTAAATCTTCAATAATCAGCCGATTAATAATAGTCGCGAAGATTAAGTCAGTAGGCCAACTCCCTGGCACTAACAATGCATGGAGAATCCTTCGGCTCAACTATGTATTTATTCAACTGATCATATTGCAAGTATTCCCGCATTAAGTTTTCTATAGTAATTATTCAAACAATCGTTACGATAATTACATGATTTTACAATAGAACGATCGGACGAGTGGTATGCGATGCAACAAACGGAATTTGGCCTTGACAAAGTCTCTGCCGATTAAGCGGTGTAGAGTAAGGCTGCGTCGATCGCGACTCTCATTTTTGAAGCATCCAGTACAGCTTCGATCGTAAATATTTGTAAATGCACCGCAATCGAATCGAACTAGCTGTAATCTCATTAATTTGACGTACAACGATACCATTCGATATCGTCGCTTTACGTAATCAGCGTTACAACTTGATGGATTTCTTAGAAATCACTCGGTACCAGTGATTCATTCTAGTCATCCACAAGTAATGTTACACGATTTTTTTAATTTCACGCGTTCAAGCTGTCAAAACTAAGCGTAGTTGTGCTAAGATAAAGATCTTTACGTTATGACTACGAAATCATCGCAACAAACACCGTTTTAAATACTTTTTAAATATTTCAGATACTTTCGTATACTTCTTCGAATATTTTGTACGCTCTTCTAAATACGCCAGCGGATCTTTTTGCGACATTATGAATAGTCAAACATGCTAGAGAGTGAGACAAATTTGAACATTGAGATTAATTGAGATTTTAATTAAGTTAAGATTCGGAATAAAACAAATTCTTGCACTGGAAATTGTATGTTTTCTTATCGTTTTGGCTATACCGAATTCGTCGAACTACAAAAGAGGTGATGTACGACGGTGGAATTGTTACGATCGTTGTTGCGGATTCGAGTTTAAAGGAATACGGTGTAAGATAGCGCAGCCATGCGTAAGCAACCGCGTGCAATAGATGCAGAGTTTATCTCTACACGTTGATGCGTAGCACGTGTCATAAATACATTAATAAATGCAGCAACTTATGCAGCAATTAATATCGATTTGAACACGGTGCGTTCGAAAAATACTTTTATTCGTGCGGAAATAGTTAACTTTCGTAATTTCGCTTCACGTTCGATGGGTGCTCACCGACAATCTTAGGGAGACAAGTGGAAAATTGAAAGGATGTTTATCGGCACTCTGTATCATCGTGTTCTCGTGTAAACACGTTGTTCGCTAAACTTAAGATTACGGTTAATTTTACGATTGCAACACGTAAAAAAGAGGAAGCCATAGAACCCATTGATATTTGTCTCGTACTTGTAAGCGAAACGGCGTTCTAAATAACAGCACTTTCAAATGGCACAGCTGGAAGCACACACGGTCTTGACCTTCTCGATGAAATAAATTATCGTTTGAAAGGCCGTAAATTTTCGGACAGCCTTCGTTTCTTTTTTCCGGCGGAAAGACAAGAAACTGCGGCGCTGTGTTCTCGGAAAATACACGTACATTGTTTCGATCTCGTATTAATCTCGCGAGTCGAACAGATAATATACGCGAGATTACGCTGCATCGTTAGGAGCATAAAGTAAACGCGATCCGCGGATACATAGCGTTTCGACTAAAATGTGGGAATCGCGAGGGGAACGAACAATTCCGTTGTGGATGGAAGTATATACATATATTGTCCGTCAAGGATAAACAATGAAACGTATCGAAAGCTACGCTAGATCCACGTGAAATAGGGATCTCTATCTTAATATATATGCTGCGTAGTTGGAAATGACGAGATAGCGAAGCAACGAGTGTCCCAAGAAGGTAAAAGGGTGGAGCTTGATAATTTCTTTCGACCTTATCGCGTTTCCGATGCAGTACATTTGTCTTATAATAATACTCGGAACACAGGGAGAAGAATGACGCGCCGATAAAGCAGAAAACACAAAGTTCAGCGGAATTGTATCCATAATCCGATGGAAATTTTAGAAAATGCGATGCTGAAGGGTAATCTGGATGGAAGTGTGTCGGATGACTAATTGTTTAGATACCGTAATTACTACCCCTTAATATCTTCGTACACGAATAATACGAAAATATGCGGTATGCTCACCGACTCGAATATTTGAAAATACTTTCGTTATCGGTATTATCATTTTGTAACAAGTATACTAGAACCGAACGATAATTAAATCGATGTCCCAATTGGACAAAGACTTTCATAGTTTGCAACTTCGTTTGATGTTCGTAAATGCATTTGTTTCAACGTATTCCTGTAAAACTTGTTGCGTATTTCCACCCATTTTGAAAGTCTACCAAACCTCGTAGCAGTTACCTATATTTTTGAATAAATTAGAACACAAACTTTAAACGAAGAAAATGGGCTTGCCTGTCGACATAAATTATTATCGGTATCGGCTGAAGCGCGGCGCAGAAAAGCTTCTGTACATTATCAAACAAAAGCGTGTAATCGTTTGTTAGTTTTCATTTCCAATGAAATAATGCCGTGCTGAAATTTTCTGCCAGGACAAAGTTAGTATTTTTGCAGACAGCTATTTAAACCTTGTATCTCTGGTTACACAGCTTACAAAGAGATGCTCGAGTGATATACTTGTCATGTATTACGTTGATTTCTATCAACTTTGAAAAGTAATTTCAAACTTTTGATCCATATAGTGTTTGTGCAATCGAACGGCAAGATAGTCGGCAAGTTTTATCGTTGGCGATAACTTGTCATCTTTGACGAATTGAACGACAGATTCGATTTGGAAAAACCGAGTGAATTCGACCGATGATGATGATTATAATGCGAGCGTATCTGTGATCGATTGCGACGATCAAATTATATACGACGGCATAAGAAAGTAATTTTATAACCTTCAGACTTATGTCACTGACACGTCCACAAGGATTATCTGAGACAAACATTGTACCACGCTGTTACAATTTTACGATTTTCCGATAAATCAAAGAGGAATTGATCCGATAACGTTTTGAAATCTTGGTCGAAACTTTCTTTACTTTCATTTCTCTTCGGTTCTTTTCAATGGTAAAAACTATGATCGAACGATGACATCCTTTGTGTAGATCCTTCGTAAAGAACAATGTTATATTTCCTGTAACGCTGTTTTATATCCGAACGGATCCTACATTTTTATTAATCTGTCAAAATGATAAACGTTCAGATAAGACATATGCTCGTATGGTACTTCGCCCGGTGCCGATGACAAGTTGATACCTAAAACTTCAAGTGAAAATGTCTGTGACGTGAATTGTCGCGTATTGTAGCCACAAACACGTAATCACAGCAAGGGAATCCAAGTACAATAAATTCTCTCCAATTGCCCTCGGTTTGTAAAGAACTATGGACAATTTGGGAAAAGGAGATACGATTATTCGAACCGCAAGGTTATTTATTATAGTACCTTCTTTCTTCACATTGTCCACTTTCGTTTACAAGCCGAGGGACAATTGAAGAGAATTTACTATATACCTGACAGGGGTCAATTGGACGTGGCTGATTTCGTGGATCATTGTTTGTCTAAATAAAATAGCGGGGATTATCGATCGTAAAGAAGTGGTCATCGAGATCTCTTAATCTGAGCATTATTGAGTGCGACTGACAAGATATTGACAATATATTGACATATCGAAAATTTATATTCATCGCAAAACGTATTAGGAAATTGTTAAAAATATTACTCGACGGAGAGAGATTTTGTAATTTATTCTGGCTCGTAGCGTCGATTCCATAACAATATTTATTACACTTAACCGAATACGTCGCACATAGATTACAATACGTAGATCGGTATCAAATATACCTAATCGAAATATAATAGTAATTTTCGACGACGAAAGCACCGATAAAACGCGATAGTCGATTATTTAAGTAGGAACCATTTAGAAGTTAAACTGTCGGTCTGCGGATAATCAAGAATATTGTCCTTATCTCGAATTCGTAAAATCGGCAATTCCTTTCGAAACATCTACGATTCCGTCTACGATTCCGTCTACGATTCCGTCTACGATTCCGTCTACGGAATACTTAATCTGGATCTGATTTTGTAGATACTATTCGTGCGAGCTCGTTTCTCCATTTCGGATATTTAGCTTTTGTTTTTAACGGATGCTACAACTCGTTGGAAATAATAAAGAAAACGTCCTATTCGTACAGCTCTGTTGTTGCGTACAAACTGACGGAGCGACGTAAGTAATAACGCATGTTCGCGTAAAGCTGCGTACTCTGCATGCTTTCGTTCATTACTGCATAATCTCTGAAATAAGACACTTCGGCCGTTCGCGTCATAAACCTGTTCGTTCCGAATATGTTCCAGCGGTAGAGAAAAATGCCTGTACGTCGTACAATGTGACTCACCTTCGTGAACAGGTTTTGGGTCAAGTATAAGGTTTTCGTCGCAAACAGAAACAGCTGGGACCTCAATGATTATTCAGGGTACGCGTTCTCGTTGTTGTTCATTAACGTAGGAATGTTTGTTGGCTATCGAAGACATCGTCTATCCTCCGAGCTCACTTTACTTTTTCCTCTTTCCGTTTTCCGAAGCCTCGTGCGACACGACGTCGGTCCACAGAGAAGACGACGATATACGGTGTAGCTCGTAATTATCCGGACACCTAACAAATACGGACGAACAGAATACTAAATTTGCAACATAACTGCTTGTTTAATTAAAATTAATATTCGTAGCAAGAGGTTCGTTCGTGTACATACAAGTTTCGTTAACCCCTTGCCGTACGATTACAACAATTTTTTAGCTGGAAAATTACCTACGTTTATTCGAGCGTTCGAATATCGACGACGAGAAAACAGAATTCAATTTCGCCTTAAAAGAACGGTATAACGTTCGTGAAAATCTCCATCGCGCGTTGGATTTGTCAGGGTACGGCAAAGGGTTAACATAACTGTCTCTTTCGACGTTTCGTTCCAACATCTGTTCCTAACCGATATCGAACTTTGAAATTGTCGATCGCGAGAGGCTCAAATTTATTTAAACTAATCGAAAGGAAAAGTAATCGGATGAAATACATCGTGAATTGCGTGTTTCAGGTAAAATTGGAGTACGCCATCTACAGCTTGTCTTCTGGTTCTTGGGGAACATGATTGGATATTGCCTACGAGTATCCATATCGCTGGCTATCGTAGCAATGGTACCGGAATCACCGATCGATGCTCCTAATTCCGAGGTACGTCGCATTTTTCGAAGATTTAAAAAATACCGATGCTGTAAAATTTGTCCGTATTTCGAAAATGGAGGGTGAAAATTCCGTGATCGATGAATTAGCGAATACTCGTTAATTTAATTCGATCAACTAGTTATCTGTTCCAGTTAGAGACAGCATTTATTTTTTAATTTCATTCGAATTCTAGTCGGTATTCTAGTCTCCGGTATTCTTTAGGACTAATTATGCGATAAATTCCAATGTAACTTTTTCGAACCCTGGTATTTATCGTTACCATGGGTTTGATCCATGAATATCTCAGCAATACAGATGGAACTCGTCGCAACAATCTACCATCCTGAGCGCCTTCTTCTGGGGATACACGGTTATGCAAATACCAAGCGGCTACATCGCGAGGGTTTGGAGCGGACAGAAACTGCTGGCCGTGGGCATGCTACTTTGCGGCATATTCAACATTTTAACACCGATCGCTGCGCTTTTCGGCGACATGATCGGCGTCTGTATCTGCAGGGCGCTAATGGGCCTTTCTCAGAGCTGCCTTCTGCCTTGCACGCAAACCTTGCTTTCGAAGTGGGCGCCCCCGAACGAGAGAGCGCGATTCGGTGAGACATACCGATCGATCTTGAATCCTATTACTCGAATACAACGAGGACATTTTTAACCGAGCACGTGATAACACGTGGCTCCGCATCATTTCGGGGTTAATCTAAGCGACGTTCGATTTATTCCAGGCGCGTTTGCCTACGCCGGAGGACAATTCGGTACAGTGCTGTCCTTTCCGATTTCTGGAGCTTTAGCGGCATCCTCTTTGGGTTGGAAGTCTATATTTTATGTTTTCGGAGCTTTGGCCGTGCTTTGGAGCATCATGTTCTTCATTTTTGGTTTCGACAGCCCGTCCGCGCATCCACGGATATCGGAAATGGAAAAGCAATACATAGAGAACAGTTTAAAGACTTCCGAAGACGAGGAGGGATCGTCGAACAAAGCGGTGAGAATCTGCAGTCTTTGTTATCGTGGAACATCGACTCTGTCGCGTTACACTTTTTCTTCGACCAGAAAGAATCGCGGTGCGAAACAAGCGGTCGTCTATCGGCGTTATCGAAGTATATTCGAAACGGAATTTATTATATTCGATAGGGGGCATTTTAACCTTGTCAAATTGCTCGTGCTGGATTTTGAAATTAAGATTCACGGGATGTAGGTATCGTAAAAACGATTGCGCCATTTGCGGAGCGTAGGTGGTGGGCGTGAATTCTGGATGCATACGTATGTAGAGCCCGTCGAGTCTACTTCAACAAATATTTTTCCTTGTCCACGGAATTCTTTTCTAATAACATCGTTATGAGTTTGTTAATTACCGCAACGTTACGTGTATCGAGTAACAACCATGAGATTAAATGACACAGTTACTTAACCATGTTGCGTACGTATTATGTAAATGAAGTACGTATAAAATTCGACGATCCGTATCCGGAAATTGTATCTATGTTTTTAGAGCGAACATTGCTTTATTTATTACCGTCGAACTCTGATCGATTTTGATAAGTTCGACAGGATTCTAGAAACACCGCTTTGCACCCTTAGATTTTTCGAGAAATTTCGTTCGAATCGGAATAGCCAGGATCGATTTGTTTATATATTTTGTTACGGTTACCTGTAATTATCTTCGACGGTGTCTCGTAGAACCATTGCTGTTTCTCCATTAGAGTTTTCCTGCTAGATAATTAACTGCGAATCTTCGAACGGGTCGTATACGTGTATACACAGGGTGGCCTGTAGCAGGTGGGGAATAGGAATCGTCGGGAATAAATTCTACGCGTGAAAATGATAAAAAAAAGTTCATAAAGTCTCGTTTGATTTTGTTTCTCAGTCATGGCGAGTTTTTTTCTTACATTCGCATCTACTCGTCTTAACTCGAAAACAAAGTTTTGTAGAATCTATTCCCACGTGCTACGGGACACCCTGTATTTATAAGGCTAGCATTTATAAGCCTGATTATCGCATAGGAAACTGTCCTAGATAAAGAATGTGCCTGTCACTGAAATTGTCTCAAAGGCTCGAATACCACTTCTAAAATAGCTATGCAATCCGAGAGTTTGTTCTACAAACTGCATTCGCATAATGTTACCAGTATGTAACATGCATTAGAGATTAGATAATCGAAGCAGTCGGTCTCATAATTGTTGCCGGATGCGGCGGCAATTTGTTATACTTGTTACGATGCTATTCGAAGAAACATTTTGTACAAATAGAAGCATTTCGTAGAGGAGAATGCATAAAATCGTACTATAACGTTTTCGTAGCTATAAAAAAATTACAACGAGGATACTGCAATTTGGAAAGGCGAATAGAAACGAATTTCGGTTTGATAAAACCTTCGAAGAACGACCGTTTAACGTTTCGACGCGTTGGAAAGTATTTCTTCCATTAATTAAATTCCTGTTCGACGTAAACCAAGCATTATATAATGCACAATTTAAATATTGGATACAAGCGCAACAAGAATTTTCCACATGAGTAGACTTGCATCTCGTATTTCTGGATTCCACTTGTATGATGCAAACACAGCATGCTACATATACAAGAAACGTTCGAACACCGTAACCGTAATATTTCTTGCGAACAATGCACTCGATATCGACGCTAACGCTATTGTTAAGTATTATCACAAGCATGGTTACGACCAGTATCCCAAAATTCAATATCTTAAAAAACAAACGACATTTCGCGATAATTAAAACGACGTTTTCAATGGGATTGTACACATGTTCATTAATGTCACGCAACAGTCAAGATCACGACTTCAAGGACCTATAACAACATGACCTTTCGTACGGAATATAAAGGAGAATATACAGGGTGTCCCGGTAACTCTGTTACAAAGCGATATCTCCGTTATCGGTAACGATGCGCGGAAATGCTTAACGAACAAATTGTTTGGTTCAAAGGAACACGCGTCGCGGTGGAAATCGTTTTCTCTCGAGGGTCGTATCTTTCGAGATTTCAAGGTCATCGATGTTTTTTTTAAATGGGATTATATATTTCTATCGTTGCATCGCGATGGCTAAGATCGAGACGAATCCAATGACTTATAGTAACGTGACCTTCGCACGATATAACCTTGACATAATCGTTGCTTCGACTGCATTAAGATTATTTTGTTATCAGGCGATCAAGATACCATGGAAAGCAATTTTCACGTCGGTGCCGATGTGGGCCCTTATAATTGTCCATTGTTGCCAGAACTGGGGTTACTGGACCCTCATCACCGAAATGCCAACTTACATGAACAAAGTTTTGAAGTACGATATGGCACAGGTAATTATGTAATTATTTATTCGACGTTACGATCGTCGATGATATATGCATATTTCAGGGAATGCTTTCTTTCGCGCGTTGTTTCTGAGACGTTTCTATTTTCTAGAACGGTCTGATGTCGGCTCTACCCTATTTGATGATGTGGCTTCTGAGTTTTCCAATCAGTTGGCTCGCCGATTACGCCCTTCAGAGGGGCGCCTCAAGAGGAACAACTAGGAAAGTGTGTAACACTATCGCACACTGGGGACCAGCGATCGCTCTGATTTGTCTTGCCGCGGTGCCGATCGCAGATTCCGGCGTGGTCGTGGCCATGCTCGCGATAGCCGTCGGTTTAAATGCCGGCGCACTTTGCGGATTTCAAATAAACCACGTCGATCTGAGCCCCAATTTTGCTGGACCAATGATGTCTATTACCAACTGCATCGCGTCCGTAATTGCGATAATCGCGCCGATCATTTGTGGAGTCATCATAGAAAAGCACGAGGTACCTTTAATCGTAATCATTCTCAGACAACGAGGTTTGCGCCAATAACACGTTCTATATTTTTTTCAGGACAGCAGAGCTCATTGGTCGATAGTATTTTATCTTTCCGCCGTTATTTATTTCCTAGGGAACTTAATTTTCATTATATTCGGCCAAGGTGAAGTACAATCGTGGAACGACCCCGCATCTTCGGAGTCTCGGAATCCGAGTAAAAAAGAATCTATAGTAGCGTAAGCGCGCGATACGATCTTATCGCGTTCATTCGAATCGGTGGGAAATGTTGCGTACCGAACGGGTCATTACGTATTTCGTAAGTTTAGATTGTAAAATTCCATTGTACTCGTTTCAACGACAGCATCTTGCAACGCTACGTTCCCTTAAAGGGTATTCATCATTTTTCCTACTGTAACGAGTTCCTAAACACTTTTCCAAATTATTCGGACGAGCGGTTTCGTTTGCATTGGACAGACAAAATGCAAAGAACACAAGTATCTTTTCCTTCTCTCGGCGCACAAACCAATTGTTTAACCTAGGCCTCGCTGATTCGAGACCGAGCATGCTCGGGCTTTACCGCGATGATCATTTTTAACTTTTATCGCGGAAATACTCCGGGAGTTTGTTCCATTATCCGTTGTCCATCTATTACGACAATGCGTTAGTTTGATTTAGTTGGACAAACGTGGTGTGGAATGTAAAGTACTTTACGATACGATATAGACTGAGGTTTCACAAAATCCGAAAACTTTTGGACCGATCGATTGAAAATTGCGCATGTTCTATTCCGATACTTTCGTGCGTCGTCTATTTCCCTCGAGTCAACGAAATCGCGAAGAATGCGATTCTTCTTCTGCGCAGTCGCGAAGCAAACGAATCCGGGATATTTAGTAACGAAGTTTAGCATTTAATTGTTGATCGTACAAAGACGATGTTCGCAGTCAAACGAGACTCATAACTAGGATTAATACTCAAAGTTGTTCGGACGTTGTCGCGATTGGTCTTCGATCTCGACGCGAAAACCTGACTGATTCATCGACGAAACTATGGTCAAAACAAGCATTACTTTGAAACTATCGACACTGCACAAGCTAAAATATTGAATCAATGTCGAATTGGTACAATTAGAGTTCTATAATAGTTTACGAAGTATAAATTTTAGTCTAAATTAATGTGTAAATAAATCCGAACGTTTGTTCTTACCATATTAATTATTATAGTTCTAAACGAATCATGGCAGCCATTAGAAATAACGTAGTTCGACAAAACGATAGAGATAAGGTAATGTACATATTCGAATGTAGATTTCTGTAGGAAATAGAAAAATCAACGAGGCCAAGATAAAATGTGCGAAGGCCTCGAAGGCCTGCATTAAGTTTTTTGTATCGTACATAAACCGCATATTGTGTGTATCCTGCATATCGCTTGAATATATTAGAATAATATTTTAATAGTAATTCGATCGACTCGTTGTAAGGTAAACTAATCCTTCGAACATAATCGAACAAATTTAGACGGCTTGGACCAATTATAAAGAAGCTGCGTACTCCGTTTTAAAAATTGTCCCAATATTTTCGTGACCGATCGTAGCATGTGGGATATGAGAAACAAAAACTGGGGTAGTGGAGTCGGTTACTGTGGGGTGACCAATTGATACGCCTTTGGCTCGTTTTCGGGCATAATTAACTTTATATTTATCGAATAAGATGTATCACAATTTTTTTATTACAAAATAAACGAGATAAACAAATACAAAATTTAATATGTTTCATTCGATAAATGTAAAGTTAATTACGCCCGAGTAAAAATCAAAGATAGCGATCGGCTCCAATATCCTATCTCGATGAAAGTGAGAAACAAGTTATCCTTGCTGATACAATTCTATGAAATTAGCACTTGTAGCGTTCTCTACAGAGTCAACGCGGAACGTGCTAGTGATACTACCTTTGAATAAACTTCCGAATGAGATCTGTCGCCGATCAAGATGGCATATGGAGGGTGTATAAGAGACGGGCAGAGGATCCGAGTATAAAATATTAGCTTCGGACATTTAGTAGCCGTCAAGTTGTTTACAAAAAACTTTTAATCTTAGACATTGTAAGCAGTGTATGCAGCATTGCTAAACGCATCGAATAACGCCTATCCAGACGTTACTCACACGTGTATCTTCGTTGGGGTAGTTTCGACTATCGTCACGGATTTAAGATCTGTACAGACATTGCGTTTTATGAGCTTTTCAGTCTCACTTTCGAGGGGCACTGGAGCACCCTTTCCATTTCGTATCGCGCTTACCGATAGTTCACAATAAATAAGTATATTAGCAACAAGCGAGTATCTTGTATATTTCATTTCTGCTACGAGCACTGAATATTATTCGGAGGCGGTAAGCGTATACGACGCGAGACAGAAATGCTTTATATAGTGTAATTATTTCTATGGAGAGTTGAACAATTATTTCTACTAATTACATAATTAGTAACGTGCAAATAGGCATTTACAACGTTAATTTCATAAGCTTTTACAATGCCAGCATTGCAAAAAAAAGCATTGCACGCAATGTCTGTACTGACCTTAAGTCTCTGGACAAATTAACCAGACCAAAGCTAATTTCACTTACTAGCAGATATGGTAACTAATTTTAGGTCATCCTATAGATATTAAAGCCTACTTTATCAACTGTTGGATTTGAAATTATAGGCGATGCGTCGCGGTAGGCAAAATTACTTCGGCAGAAATGCTGAAGGCGGAACACTGCTTTCAATGTACAGTATTTAAAGTTTTTTTTTGTTAATATCTGGAGTACCGATGACAATTGGAGAGAATTCACTGTACTTGACGAAAGTCGTGAAAAACTGCACGATTTTAAATTGTTCGTTAAATTGTTCGAATAATAATTAAAAAGTTCAAGTGATTCGATCTGATGCAGTGGCTCGCGAAAGTATTCGGACACCTTTTAATTTCTAATCAATGAAATCTAAACCGATTTGAATTTCTTCGAGATGTTAAAGGAACTAGTTAACTAAACAATCTCTGAACAATACTTGCAGAAATTGTAATTGATCGGAGCGACGACGAAAGATAAAGCAACGATGTGTTTTTTTTAATTATTTTATTAGAGCCTAGGAGGAAGCAAACAATGCGTTTTGTAGGTATCTGTAATTTACACGTACGCGATGATAGCAAAAATTCCACTTTTATTAATTTAATCTAATTCAATCAACAGCATTTCTAATCGATAGCATTAATCTAATCGTGCACTGACTGAACGCGTATTCGCAAAAATATGATATGTTCGTTTCATACCTGCGTATCCATAAACTTCGTGTAATATCATAGTGCACGAAAGTTTGTTTAGGACCGATCCATTACGGTATGTGGTACAGGTAAAATTGCGTAAGAAGCGACATCGACGATGTCGCAGGAATAACAATAGGATCCATTTGGAATACCATTATCTTGTAGTGGTTATTTTCGTATCACTTTGATTTTCTTAGTTTCCACGAAGATAGAACAGGCTGAAAAGTATTTTCTTTCACTGCTGTGTTCTTGATCGAGTATATATATGTATTCATTTCTCCTTGTCGTATGTCGCATACTAATTGTCACACCTCCGTGGCAATATCAACAGCGATACACGATACTTCATCTATGGACATACATATATCTGCAAAGTAAATAGAATTCTTCTCGCAGATATTGATGCGTCGCGTACGAAATCCGTCAGCTGTTTCTCTCCGTTACTTTCAGTTTCTGAAAGTTGTTGAATTAAATCTGCATTTGGGAACACTTTTTTAGTTAGATTTTGCCCGAAGTTGTTAATTTTCAGAATAAATCGAAGAATGTCCGAAAAATTGGCCCGTCGAAGAAATCTCGCAGTCTTGAAACATTATTTAAACGTGTTGGAATATTTATGGCGTTTTAAGAAAAATATTCCGTTCTATTTTGAAGAGTTTACGGAATGTGTTCTTGCGTAAGAATTATTTAAACGGTTTTTTATGGTCGAAGCAGACAACATTTCCGAAGCTCGAAAGAAAATTAATAGTTAGAATTAAGGGCAAAGAATTTGGTTTTTGGAAAACTGCGGATGATGGAGAAAAACGTTCGGCGCATGAGAATTTACGTACATTTGTACGTGGCATGTATTTGAATGCAGGAAAAAGTTAAAATTTATTGAACGGTGCTATTAGGTAATTGATGAATAAAGCGATTAACGAGAAGAATGCAGCGAGCGGATAGTTGAAGATTCGTTATACAGATATTCGAGAATTATATAAACGCTTCATTTAGCTGAAGAAAATGATGCACCTGTATTTTTTACCTAAATATTATCGCGTGTACGTAATTTTAGAGAAAATAAACGGAGACATGGATTTCCGTCTTCCGACTGTTTTTGCTAATGCTATCTATCTAAAAATAAAGTGCGAAGCAGTCGTTATAAAAATCATGACGTGCACAGTAACGAAAACACTTTAGAGTTCAGTACTTAATTAGATTCGAAAGACTCGGAAAAATAATGCGGATGTAACTTCGTTTTAAACATTTCTTATTGAGCGATACCGGTGTTGCTGATATAATTATTGCGAATAACAATAGGGAATTCAACGTAATACGATTATCTCAAACGGCATGAGAATAGTAAATGTAAATCAAAGAAATTATGTATTTACGAATGAAATTATATTTCGTAATCTTTTGGAGGTATTCTTAATATTCACGGATATATTGTGGACAAAATAAAAAAATTACACAATCCACTGATAACGGCATTTACGTTAGAATACATATATATATATATATTAGTTGGATGTAACGATTTTCGTGAAGGATCTTATCAACGTAAATATCAGATTCTGTGTCACGAGATTTTCTTTGTTGTAGAAGATTTATCGCGTCAGAAATCATTCCAGATATAATATCGAACGTTTGACCATTGCAATTACAAAATTGCTTTTTAATCTACACAATTATTTAGCGGCGGCTTATGTCTTCGCTGGGTACATTTTCAGTTTTAATTTTTTCCGACATCAACAATTACAATGCTTGCATTACTATCCTGAAATAGTGTCTTGATTTTATTGAGTGACTAACGATTATGCAACCATCGGCGGATTTGTAATTTACTGGTTAGCATGCGTTGTCCGCTACTCGGTATTCTTCGACATTATCGTCGGCGGCTTAGAACAAATTATATTATGCGTTTTTAATTACATAAGGAGAAAAAGTGATAACAACGTGGCCGCGTCTGTGTCCGTCCACATTGTATACATATTATACGCTCGCAGAGCATACATGCTGGAAAAGAAGAGTGGGAGAATCCCTTTTCGGTGATGGACTATAAAACCACGATCAACTGATTGATGGATCGTAGTGTCTTTTTCGCGTGTAAACTCGGAACTCGACCCTACCGAAGAAATCGTGCGGCGCCAATCAATTTTGTTATCAACATGACGCACTCGCACAGCATGAAGAGGGTATCCGTTATATCCATCTCGGAGAAAATGAAGATACCGGCAACAAAACCCGAAGGTATTTTCATCAGTCAGTTTTTCGAGCGATCATTTTATATTCGACCGGCACGCGTTATTCCAGTAGATCGGTTAACCGAGCGGGATTGCGCGCGACGTACGATATTCCTCGCTAAAAAATAACATCGATCGACGTTCGGCCGCAGATTTCGAATCATTGTGCTCGTTTCAACTGTTACCACTGTCCTAGCTTTTACATTTTGTCGACAGGGCTAGTTTCAAATTGCCATCGTTTCCTCAAAAACCTCGTCATCCTGTAAATTACAATGTCACGAATGCAGACCTTTCGCAGGTGTATTAATCGTTCCGAGGGATGACGTAAAAAATCAATCGGATCTTGATTTAGTGACACTAATCAGCGATAAGACGTTATTTGTCACGATTTCTGCAAAGATTAGCCTCGCTTGCCCTGATTTAAAATTGTGTTTCATGACGTGCTGGGATTCTCCCACTTGTCCAACCATTTTTTCGTCACGTGAATGTCGTTCCGCGAACTGTTTAATCGATTTTGCAAGATCATAAACAATCGTGAAACTTGCTGCGTTGATTTATGTACCTACGCGTACCCTCGACTCGGTAATCGTTTCTAAAAAACGATACAAATTCCACAGCCCTCTGCTGCATACTCTTCCCGAATCGTCACCTATTCGCCACCTATTTTCTTTACGAATTGTCTCTATTCTTCCGAAAATGTCACTGGACCACAACAACGACATATATTTGTAACATCGACATATTTTGCATAAAAAATCTTGAGCACGAACACTCAAGCAACATGCCGTTTTTAAATCGTTGTTCGCACGAACCCCTACGCGGCAACCAGAAATCATTGCCCGAGAAACGATCCCGCGGTTTTCACGAATTTTCACTTCACACGGACTGCGTTTTGTTTGTAATTGCACGTTTTACAACACCGTCGTAGAGAGATAACAAGCACAGCGGCCACAACGGAAGGAAGATAAATGAAAATCGCCGATTGGGACGAATCTGAACAGAGATTGCTGCGAGAGCGTTTCATCGGAGGCTCGTTCGTTATTCGTAATAACGCACGAACAGAAACCGAACGTTAATTAACCATGTCGTGTGCGTTTGAACTCGGAGTTGTCGAATTACAAGGACTATTCGAAGCACGGCGTACGCTTGCAAGCAACGTGCTACAAGATAATGAATTTTTCTGCAACGCGTGTAGCATACGTACGTGACGAATCGCTTTGAATTCCAAAACGTGACGTCGATTCCTCAATGTCAGATTTCTCGCGATGTCCTAGAGCCGCGAAATGAACGATTTGCTCGTCCGCATTCTCTGCATTGCTTGGCCATGGAATGCAGCGAACACAGACTGCGGTTGTTTCTCTACCCGAGTGCATGTGCAACGATAACTCCTGTACGGAATGACTTTCTGTTTGCGTCGTCTTTAATACCGACTCGACGATACGGGTCAGCACTTCAGCCGCGATAAATTTATTGAACTTTCTTCTCCCGCTCGACGCGCTAGAACGTGAAATTAAATTTAGATTCCACTGGTACACGCACGGTACATAGGTCATACGCGCGTCCGATCGTTTAAGCGTATCAACGGTGAAAGAACCGTCCGGGTTCCATTACGATGTCTATTTCTATTTTCTTCACGGATTCGAATTATGATTCCTAGACCGATAATAATAATAATAATAATAATAATAATAATAATAATAATAATAATAATGCGAACGCGGTATTCGTTGCACAACTTTTCAGTCGACGTTGTTCGAAGAGCGAATTGTCTAGTTCGCATAGACGATATTCATGAGACACTTGTGCCTCGATAATCTGCCTCGTTCGCATATTTATCCTCGTACAATCTCTATATTTATATAACATGCAATAATTAAGAACAATATTTCGCGTCAGATTCGCTAATATCATATCGGTTACGTTCACCGAGACAAACATATTATTTTATTGAATCGACGCTTGGTCATTTATCGCCTACCTCCTTATAAAGGTCGCGCGGTGCAATAATGCTGTATGCAGTTGCATACCGATGAGCTACCGGTGATACATTAACCGGTAATAGATTAACGACGTCTAAATTGGAGTGACAAGAATCATTGTGAATCCATGCATTTGTATATAGCGAGCGAACGTGTAATTATTATTGTTAGACCGCGGATTTCGCGCGTTCACGACAAAAATAATTAATTTATTGAATCGATTGAGAAAAATGAATCTGTGGCTACTTCATACTTTTTGTAAATGTAAAAATTTGCATTTTCCAAAATATTTGGGCCGATTAGATAATACTACCGGATGCTGATGCATACTGCACGTGCCTATAACATGAAATAAATTGAAAACATTTTTATTTTTATTTTTTATTTCAAATCTGCTGGATATTGCAGATACGAGCACGATACGAGCTTATGTGTACGTACGGTGGGATTTCCAGCGTTGATTTAATCTGCTTCTTCTCGAGGCACCGATTTTCCCTCTTCTTTTCTAATCCCTCGCTGTAATCGCATCGTACGTCCGAGATTTACGAATTTCTAATCAACCCTCGACGATCTTTCAATTGTGTGTGTAAGCTATAGAATTGTAGTTAAATCCAAATGGATGTAATCAAATATTAATCGAAAAGGAATCTTGCGATAAAGAGAGTATGAAGAGCGACACGATAATGCTTGGCACTCGTGTAAATTACCTATAAAATATTTCTATTATACTTCTATTTCTAAGTAAGGAGCAAAAGTGTATTGAAAAGCTCGATTAATGCCCAAACATGAATTTTATAAAATTGTGATATGCGGCGTTTTCCTTTCCAGATTTATTCGACGCTTCTGGATTTAAATGCCGCACTTCTCATTATACTGCATCGCCAGTAATCCTTTCACAGTTTAATAAAACGATGAAAAATGGTCAAATTTTGTCTTGTTTTCAAGATATATATTTGTGCCTCTATCTCTAAGTAATACGAACCTGCGAAACGCATAAGACGATGCCATGGAAAAAATAAACGAAAACGTACGCATCACGTACTATAAACAATATATTGGTTTGCCGCTTGGCTCGTGCCAGTACGGACTAAATTATAAAAGGATTTATAAGAATGAATTATATATTATATGCGGTCAGCGATTTCAACAAAATTTCACCTCTTGAATTCAACGAGAATATAAGAAGGCATGTATNTGCGAACGCGGTATTCGTTGCACAACTTTTCAGTCGACGTTGTTCGAAGAGCGAATTGTCTAGTTCGCATAGACGATATTCATGAGACACTTGTGCCTCGATAATCTGCCTCGTTCGCATATTTATCCTCGTACAATCTCTATATTTATATAACATGCAATAATTAAGAACAATATTTCGCGTCAGATTCGCTAATATCATATCGGTTACGTTCACCGAGACAAACATATTATTTTATTGAATCGACGCTTGGTCATTTATCGCCTACCTCCTTATAAAGGTCGCGCGGTGCAATAATGCTGTATGCAGTTGCATACCGATGAGCTACCGGTGATACATTAACCGGTAATAGATTAACGACGTCTAAATTGGAGTGACAAGAATCATTGTGAATCCATGCATTTGTATATAGCGAGCGAACGTGTAATTATTATTGTTAGACCGCGGATTTCGCGCGTTCACGACAAAAATAATTAATTTATTGAATCGATTGAGAAAAATGAATCTGTGGCTACTTCATACTTTTTGTAAATGTAAAAATTTGCATTTTCCAAAATATTTGGGCCGATTAGATAATACTACCGGATGCTGATGCATACTGCACGTGCCTATAACATGAAATAAATTGAAAACATTTTTATTTTTATTTTTTATTTCAAATCTGCTGGATATTGCAGATACGAGCACGATACGAGCTTATGTGTACGTACGGTGGGATTTCCAGCGTTGATTTAATCTGCTTCTTCTCGAGGCACCGATTTTCCCTCTTCTTTTCTAATCCCTCGCTGTAATCGCATCGTACGTCCGAGATTTACGAATTTCTAATCAACCCTCGACGATCTTTCAATTGTGTGTGTAAGCTATAGAATTGTAGTTAAATCCAAATGGATGTAATCAAATATTAATCGAAAAGGAATCTTGCGATAAAGAGAGTATGAAGAGCGACACGATAATGCTTGGCACTCGTGTAAATTACCTATAAAATATTTCTATTATACTTCTATTTCTAAGTAAGGAGCAAAAGTGTATTGAAAAGCTCGATTAATGCCCAAACATGAATTTTATAAAATTGTGATATGCGGCGTTTTCCTTTCCAGATTTATTCGACGCTTCTGGATTTAAATGCCGCACTTCTCATTATACTGCATCGCCAGTAATCCTTTCACAGTTTAATAAAACGATGAAAAATGGTCAAATTTTGTCTTGTTTTCAAGATATATATTTGTGCCTCTATCTCTAAGTAATACGAACCTGCGAAACGCATAAGACGATGCCATGGAAAAAATAAACGAAAACGTACGCATCACGTACTATAAACAATATATTGGTTTGCCGCTTGGCTCGTGCCAGTACGGACTAAATTATAAAAGGATTTATAAGAATGAATTATATATTATATGCGGTCAGCGATTTCAACAAAATTTCACCTCTTGAATTCAACGAGAATATAAGAAGGCATGTATCTGAACATTCGAGATTAGATTTTATAGCTTCCTGATATCGCGACGATGCGCCGCGATAGTCTCGAAACGAGAACATAAGTTTTATACATACTTTGTATTTGCTTCACGTTTAACATTAGGAGTTTCGAAATCCACGGTTCGTTTTAATCACGTGCAAGATAAATTTTGTTCAGATCTTTTTCCCATTATCGTTATCTATTTTTGTATTATCGTCGTCTCGTTTATATCTTTTTTTATTTACTTTCATTTAGGTACAGATAGTATTAAGCACAAAACCTGTTATTTTACTGGTTACGTCAAGATGTATCGTCCATCGGGTTTAAGCTTGAGCAAACAGTGGATTAGATTCAAAGACGATTAAAGATGAATAATTCTATTGTATCGAAAATCTCGGTTAAATTTTTGGTTTAGATCATCGCGCTCACAGCGTTTTATGTATATTCTATCGATAAATCCAGCTACTTTTCGATTCGACGTACCGTCGAGTCGGTTTATAGTTTATTTATCGTTTCATTCGTAATTTGCAGCCTGGTTCGGATGTAGACATGTGCAAATCTCTTTGCTGGCCTTCGGTTTTCTATGTTGTTACGCCGTTCGAGTTACCACGTCCGTGACACTGGAAGCAATGACGAATGCCTCCACTGCGAATCCTGACTTTGAAGTATGAATCTCTTTACTTTTATTTTAATTTCATTTTATCTTCTTGCTGTACCATTAACGATCGTTGTTTTCAGTTTCATTGAAAAACATTTGAGAATTTGAGAATCGGAGCAGCTACTTTGAACAGATACAATCGTTTCCGGAATCGTAGCTCACAGCACAGTAAATTATCCCTATAAAGATGATATAACACGAAATTAACCAATCAGAATTACGAACGTATTATCATTGTATCGTTCCAAATCAATTGCAATTTAAACAATTTTTATATACTCGTTCTCTACAAAAATTAGTCGGTCTAACATTCACAAAAATATAGTTTTATTCCATTTGAATCGGCGTTAACGTACTTTCTGTCGCGAGTGTATATTTCAGCTGCGATCGGCCCAATCGGACTGTGATCGGATCGAAACTTTCAACGATTTCTCTCGCATACCCAAAGTTCATCAGCCCACTGCGCGTTAGAACAATGATCTATTAATATCGTTTTCTCTTTGTCTTTTGTAGGAATTCGAATGGAACAATTCAACGAAAGACATCATCTTGAGCTCCTTCTTCTGGGGTTACGTGTGCACGCAACTCGTTGGAAGCATAATTGCCCGCCGTTGGGGAGCTCAGAAGCTGTTCTCTCTCGCGCTGTTCATCTGCGGTTTAGTAACCCTTCTCGTGCCAGCAGCAGCGAAGTACGCTGGTTGGGAATCGGTATGCGTTACGAGAGTAATTGCAGGATTCTGTCAGGGCACCGTGCTTCCCTGTCTTCACACGCTGCTTTCCAAATGGGTGCCCACGGAAGAGCGGGGTCGAATGTGTAAGTACACCGATCGATTGTGCGTCATATGCAACGACGAGATAGTTCGTTGTATTATTCTTCGGAGAGTTACGCAGAATTACAAATTGAATTCCTCGAGGAATCATACTTGAAAAGTGATTCGGATCTCCGTTCGATTATATTACGATGTAATTCGTAATTGCATTTGCAATAGCGTTCGTTTCTCGCTGTACTTTACCTGGATCGTGTTCGTTTCAGCGACGTTCGTCTACGCTGGCGGTTGGATCGGGAACGTCATCTGTTTGCTCAGTTCGGGCCTACTGTCGGTTTCATCTGCAGGCTGGCCCAGCTGTTTCTACGTTTGGGGTGGCATCACCATCGTGTCCGGTTCGCTCGCCTTCTTCGTTTGCAAGGAATCGCCGGCCGAGCATCCGAACATACCACAGGACGAGAAAGAATACATCGAGACTAGTCTTGGAGTAACGGAAACTGAGGAGGTAAATACGCGAAGTAATACAGGAATTTCTCTCAAATTCGGATCAGTCTTGCGGCTCGTTTTTGTAGTTACAACTATAAAAACGAGACGCGAGACTCGAATAATCGTGTGTCCTTTTCCCAAATTGTCCATTTTTGCGTGCAATTTGAGCGCGAATTGGGGAGAAATTACTGTACGTAGAATTCGAATAACTCGCAACCTTTTATGGTGTAGAATTATATAATAACATGTAAAATTACATACTATAACGATGATATTGATAAATTCTATAACGTTTCAGAAATTACCCACACCATGGCGAGCAATGTTTACCAGCCTTCCTATGTGGGCATTGATGGTGACGCAGAGCGCTCATAATTGGGGCTTTTGGATGCTGCTAACGAAAATTCCGTCATACATGGCGTCCGTCTTGGGCTATGACATCAAACAGGTGACTTAAAATAGTAAATTATACTTGCAGATAGTTGAAAACCACAGGGAGAGCGAATTAAAAATGCTCTTGGTCTCACAAAAATATATTGAAAAAGTTATCCCTTTGGAAAAGTGTCCGAATATTGACTCACTGTACACGTTATCTACCTTATCCTCTTCCGAATAAGTTTAATCGCTCACTGGTTAATCGCATTCCGTTTAGAATGGCATGCTGACGGCGCTACCGTATCTGACCGCATGGATTCTCAGTTTTCCGGTCAGCTATTTCTCGGACCTTCTCATCAGAAAGGGCGTCATTTCGGTTGGAACCTCGAGGAAGATTTGCAATTCGATCGGTCAATGGATCCCGGCGATAGCATTGATCGCTCTCGGATACGTTGAGAAAGAGCACCCTGAAATAGCAGTGGCTCTTCTGATACTCGCTGTAGCTAGCAACGTTTTCGTTTACTGCGGGCACAACGTGAACCACATGGATCTCAGCCCGAACTTTGCCGGCACTCTAATGGGCATCACGAACACGGTTGCGAATGTTTGCAGCATTTTGGCGCCATTGGTTGCGAGCATAGTCGTCACGGAACCGGTGAGCACCTGTTATTTACAGGATACAATGGCCGGATCTGGCAAAATTTTATTCGATATGAAAATAAGAAATAACCGTTTGAAATAATATAACAACAGGATCCTATTCTATCTGTTTGTTACAATTGTTATTACCCGAGGCGAATTGTGCTCGTTGGAAACACTCGTCGTAATACTGGTATTTGTGTTTTTTCAGTCGGACGTGTCGCAATGGAGGAACATATTCTTCTTGTCAGCCATAATCTACTTCCTTGGAAATCTTCTGTTCGTTCTGTTCGGCACGAGCAAAATTCAGAAATGGAACGATCCCATAACGGAAAGCAAAGGCACTGCTTTGAAATCGGCAAGACAGGCATCCGTGGAAAATGGATACACGGAAAAGGTAAAAGCGATCGAAAGTATGGAAGTAGAATGATATTAATAATCGTATCGCCATGACATCGAGAGATTATTTCCATTTGATGAATAAATACGTACACACAAAACCATAACGGCTGTAACGTACGTAGAATCATAGAATAAACAAACTTTGAATGAACAAACTCTTCGGCACGAATCGTACCAATTTATCTGCGACGCGAGTGATCATCGAGGGTGTTTAAGTCACGATAGCGGTGTGTAAGTCACGATTTCGAAAGTGTTGAAACGAAACCCTTGTTAGTAAACGAGAACGTTCTTTGTTTCAAACAACGAAGGAAATATACCTTATACCATCGCTCTGATCCCCTCGATTGTTTGCACAACTATTATTTTTGTAAATTACGTATGTTCGCTTTATTGACAGCAGCTAGGGAGTATTGTGAGATTGATAGCAGGCAAAGTTCAAGAGGAAATACCACTTTAATACGGTGATTAGAATTTATCGTTCGTGTGTTTATAATCAGCGTTAAGAATGAAATGCATGTGTCTAGTACTGTAACGTATGGCGTTTACCGTTTGAATGTAAGTGACGATAGTTTTTGCCTGTTTGTACATAAACGTTTGCGTGAGTGCGTTATACACGGTATTTATTGTAAATATATAATAATTTATTTATTATCGTATTCTTATTAAAATATTATATCGATAGTATTACAATAAATTTAATCTCGCTATTAATTACCATGGTCCATTTTACGAAAGGGTCCCCCATCCTTCGAACCGTGAAAATCGTTGCAATATATGTTTCGATTTTTAACTTCTTTTATCCGAGCCCGTAACGAAAATGTAAAAAATGTATCTTGTAGATCTCGATAACTTATGTGTTAACTATAAGCGATAACTCTATTGACACGAGCTGTAAGCAATTAAAGATCGCTAAAATCGTCCTTTGAAAAGGCGTTAACGTGCTTCCCGAGGCGACTGAATATGTTGATAAAGCGCCTTCCCACTTGGCAAACGCGAAATTGAGGTCACATTTTAACCTTCGAATGTTACCTTGTTTTTGCAATCAATGGATCAAGCTGTCCTAGAGATATTCAGGAGAAATTGTAACAGATTGTTAACATTGCACATTCTACAACATGACGACCTTATAGTATCATTGAAATTAGTTAATACGACAGAAGTCATTCATATGTATGCCCATATGTGGAATAAGGTACAGTTACAGGTAGGCAGGTACAATTGTGAAGGTACAGTCGAGTCACGTGTAATCGCATATAAATTATGTACAATCGTGCAATTAGGCGTACCGGTTAATTAAAATACATATAAAAATACATACAATACTTGCTCGCATACCATGTGTCGCGTGTAACATTACTATTTCTAATCTCTAACTTCGAAGTACAGCAATATCACCGATACGTCTTACCTATTTCATACATTATCAATTTTTAAAAAATTTCGATATACAAGTTTAGAAAACCTTATCTTTTGCAGAGAAACATTCCGCGTTACTAGATTATGATATTCTCGATTTTATTTAAACCTGTTCAAATTGTCAATAAACGATAAAAGTCCATGCTTCTGATATATTTAACAACCTGTCGCGTTACTTTCAATCAGATCCGAGCAAATTGTATTTCAAATGAGAGTAAGAAATAGCTACTTGAAATAATTCATTTCGAACCGTTATATTCAATGCTCTATTGGAAAATACAAATAACTTTGATCCATTTGAAATAATAGCAATTTCAAATATTGAATTGTTTCATTATGTTTTTCATTTCAAATGTGACTAATAATCAACCAAATAATATGCAACGATAAGATTTTAGAATAGAATGGGGTGGAAAGGATGTTAGAATACACCAGTCACAGAGCTAATAATCAGATCAAAACGTAATTTCCAAAAAGCAATTCACAATTAACTGGCATACCTGTTTCGAATAATTNATAAAAATACATACAATACTTGCTCGCATACCATGTGTCGCGTGTAACATTACTATTTCTAATCTCTAACTTCGAAGTACAGCAATATCACCGATACGTCTTACCTATTTCATACATTATCAATTTTTAAAAAATTTCGATATACAAGTTTAGAAAACCTTATCTTTTGCAGAGAAACATTCCGCGTTACTAGATTATGATATTCTCGATTTTATTTAAACCTGTTCAAATTGTCAATAAACGATAAAAGTCCATGCTTCTGATATATTTAACAACCTGTCGCGTTACTTTCAATCAGATCCGAGCAAATTGTATTTCAAATGAGAGTAAGAAATAGCTACTTGAAATAATTCATTTCGAACCGTTATATTCAATGCTCTATTGGAAAATACAAATAACTTTGATCCATTTGAAATAATAGCAATTTCAAATATTGAATTGTTTCATTATGTTTTTCATTTCAAATGTGACTAATAATCAACCAAATAATATGCAACGATAAGATTTTAGAATAGAATGGGGTGGAAAGGATGTTAGAATACACCAGTCACAGAGCTAATAATCAGATCAAAACGTAATTTCCAAAAAGCAATTCACAATTAACTGGCATACCTGTTTCGAATAATTTTAAAATAATATCTTAGTAATATTTCAAATAACGTTGTTTCAAAAGCGATCACAGACATGTAAATAATTATGAAGTAAAATAACATGTTATTCGAAATAATATTTCAAATATGCCCGGGTCTGCTTTCGATACATTAAGATTATTATATTCGAGTCGTTTAAGTATGCGTAAAAAAAAACTTTGCGTAAATCTTTGCAGTCTGTTTGTTGCGTTTCTAAATGACACGTCGATAGCATGCGAGAAATATTTCGCAACGATCTTTTTAGTAAAATCGCGTTATGAATATCGAAGGAATAAGAAGGAATAACGCGAACGTGATCTTGCCCGTGCCGCTGGTCGATCCGAATTGATCTTTGTGCTCGATCAGCCATTTTTCGATTACGGTTCTGTAATTATAGTCCCAATCCATGTGTCTGGTAGCTGTTTGCATATAGTTCACCATGGCTTCTAGTTTAGGTTTAGCGTGGATGATGAATCTGTGCAACTACGAGAAAACGATTCGAAAAAGAATTAGAATCAATACTTTGAAAATATTGCCGATTCAATATTGTCCACTGAACGTTATAGAAAAATCTGATCTCCCATGATTTTAGCAAAAAGCGAACCTTAGGACCCGTAATATTTCATTCAAAAGAAAACTTGCTTTCAACTACTCCAGCATCTGTATAATTTTTAGAAAATGATAAAAGCGCGGCATGTTATTCACCGTACCTCTAGGATGTCATCGAAGTTTAGAGCTGCATTATAGATATCGTACATGCAAGGTTCGACTATCTTTTCGGCTGTGACCCTGAAACGATCGGAATAGCATCACGACATGGAATCGAAGCACTTAAATATCCGGACGAATTCTCACTTACAACTTCGTGATATTCTTGTACGCGTTCTCGAATTTGTTCATAACTTGATCGATACTAGAAACGTTTTCGGCTTCGGGAGAGTGATTATCAGAGTCGATAGTTTCTTCGGCATCTTCGAGGTCGATGTACCCAGGGCTACTCAAAGACTCTACCAACAGGTGCTGAAGAATCGTACTGTTCCTCGAGCAACCCGCAGTTGCGAACACAATGTTTGTCTCATCTGCGTCGAACGTAGAGGTAGTCAGCCTCTTTACAATAGCCTCAAAAAACGTCTCGTTAGCAGTTTTCATTCCAGTGCAAAGGATGCTGCTCTTTAGATTTGTGTCAAGCCTGTAAAATGTTATCGACATCGATGCTATCGTTGTTCTCTTACTAACTCTAAACTGGTATGCAATGATTTTCACAAAAATTACTCGCATATTAGGATCGTTACAGACCATGAAACGAACAGAGCAAAACGATGGGTCGATCTACCTCTAGGCGAACCATCCATTGTATTTTATTCTTAGTATATAAAATAATAAACGCATGGACCAGCTAACAAATGTAGACGAACAAATGCGTTTGCAATAGAAGAACTGAAAACTTACACGTGCTTGTCGTCGATTACCCACTTGTCGAACTCCTCCCTGATGGACTCCCTACATTCTTTAAATTCAAGTTTGCATGCCCATAGGAACGCGTTTGTTTTCAGAATTTTCATGGTATGGGAGTCGTGTGGCAGAATTTTGTACGTTACATTATTTGTTAAACCTTGCATTATGTACCTGACGTAATCCTGGAAAGATAATCCAAGTATTATATAGGAAGAGCAATCGAGTTTGTGTCATAATAAAGAAGTATACAAGTAACGAATAAGTAGCAAAACTAATAAATTGTCGAATTCATTCGGAAGATTATTAATTTGTTCGCCTAACAATACAGCCCTAGGAACTATCCCCTCGCGTCCATACCTTGAAAATGTCATAATGTTTGGAGGGGAATAGCATCGAGTTCAAGAAATCCAAATTCCTAAATGTAGTCATCCACGGAATATAGTCTGTTTCATTGTGCAGATACAGTGTCAGGTCCAATGCGGTATAATAACTCGTAAGGTTGTTGCGAGCCACGTTCAAAGCGTCGTCTATCAGTTGAGCACGAGTCACGGCATGTATTTCCTCGAAGTTGGTAAGCAGGTACTGCGTTATTTTCTCCCAAATGTGCTTTTCATAATTGACGCGGTAGAAGCCTGCGATGTAACAAATGTCAAGTTTCAATATCGTTATTCGTTGCCGAAGCAGACGGCTCGAACGGAGAAATATTTTCTTTCGATGCAAACCGGAACGATACATTTTTCCGAACCAATCTACCGTTACTCGCGCAAATGCTATTAATTGTTAGCAATATACGCGCTATTGAAAATTGACCCGGCGCAACGCGAATGCAACAAACTACGCGTACCCATTTGTAGATTGTTCAGAAGTATCCAATCGGAATTCACGTTCGAAATCGTGTGGCTATCCTCGGTTGGTTTCAACCAAATAATCGGCGCTGTATGAGAGAAATTAAGGTTCTCTTTCGTGACGTATGTTATGGGTATCCACCACTTTGTCACTTCGTCGAATCCGTAATACAGGAATCGTTCTTGACTCAGTACGAAATTGCCATTGTCCTCTTTCACGGTCACCACCGGGTATCCAGATCTTGTGATCCATGTGTCCATAATTTCTTCGAGTTTCGCATCTCCCCAGACCGCATGGTATCCAGCTGCAGCTTGAAGGTATTTGATCAGCTCGTCGGAATCGATGCTCTTGTATTTGCTGTAAACAATGAAGTGCACAAGTCCGAATACATCTCGTTGGCTTATTGAAATTTCCTTGCGACACTTACTTTTCTTTCAGATACGTTCTCACGCCTTTCAAGAAGACCTCCTCCGTCAAAATGTTGATCATCATTCGGACAATGGACCCACCTGTAAAATACGTGTTTTATAGAGTAAGTTTTATAATTTTTGTGTTCTTACTCTTTTTGCGCGACTATAAGGGTTAAGCTCCGCATATGCGAACGCAAAATTATTCATTTTCTATTTCGTAAAGTCACATGGAAGCATGCGTAGGAATACTTTTATGTCAGCGACATGTTCAGAGTTTTTCATTTTATCTTATACGCTTTAAGACCTTCGTTACTTTAGCAGGCACAGATACATATATCTCTACGCGTCTTTCTAAAATTCAGCTCATTCGAGAAATATCATTTTCCATCATCGGATCGATAACATCTATAGTCCCGGAGTGACGGACAAATTAAATAGATACGCTTCAGCTATTGCGCGTTCACCCGTCGTTCGATCATCACCCGCGAAGACAGAATCGTTAAAGATTCATTTCGTGATTAATTTGATCTGCCTCGAGTGTTAGAATAGAATCGATGTATCGTAAGAGCTGATCCCCGGGTTTTCAAGTAGCCTCGATAAAAAAAGGCACGAGATACGCAACGCGAGGCGTATTAATCGCGACAGATTTATTATTAACGATCTTACCTTTTCGATAAGCGATATGCTGAAACACTTCGAGAATTTCGTTCGGGCTGTCCACGGGGTGGTTCAAGGGTTGCTCGATGTCGAATGCGTCTACTAGCAACCCCGGTTGCAGCACATCCACAACAAACGCTTCCATTAAACGCCATGTTGTCTCTATCTGAAAACAAATATTTTCAACTAAGAATTGTCCACGAAATTGTTCGACGCTGTCGACGCGATTGCTTCGGCTCTTCGTCTCTGGTCATATACGGTGTAAAACACCGTGTTCGTCAGAAATGTTCTGGCGTCTTTCTTTCAATCCTTTTGCGTAACAATCGAAGGTTTTCAAATACACGAATTTCATTGCACTTACTTTGTTCGTGATGTAGTACTCGTAGAAAGTAGCGAACCCTTCGTTCAGCCAAAGATACTCCCACCATTTCGGACTGACCAGATTCCCAAACCATTGGTGCGTGAATTCGTGGGCTATGATCAATGCCATCTTTTGTTTTTTATGATTTGTGTCAACGCCCTCCTTGTACAGAAGAGTATTCTCCCTTTGACAAACATTAGAAAAGCGAATTATTCGAGCAAGATAATACTTATTTTTTGGAAAATATACCTCGCACTTGGTATTATTCAAAAAATGTTCGAGATATTGAAATTAACGTATGTACGATTTGAAGCGTTCGAAATTGCTACTGCATTGTCAAATTTTTTTTCTTCGACGTTTTCCATCCGGTGAATTCGACGAGCATCGTTCTTAGTTTTTCTAGAATTGGGATATTGTCTGGACGAAAAGAGGGAAAGTCAGGGAATAAATTACCTGTAGGCAACAAGGCCCCAGTTCTCCATACCATATGGAATGAAGTCTCTAATGGCAACTTGATCCATTTTCGGCATGGATTCGGAATATTTAATTCCGGTGAGGATATCTAATTGTTCCATCGCTTTCACGCTGAAATCCAACGCGTATGTTGTGCGGTTTACGGTCTCTGCTTTTGTGTAAATTTTGAAAGTGTCGTCCTTATCGTGAGCTTTGTAGGCGTAATCCGAGACCACGAACGCCACCAAATAAGTCGACATGGGCTTGGTAGACTTGAACGCGGTAACTTTCATTCCACCATCGTCTATCGTGTAGAGTACAGGCATATTGGAGATCACGGCCGTGTATTGTGGTAGATGTCTGATCGCGATATCGAAAATCGCTTTGAACTCGGGCTCGTCCCAGCATGGAAACGCGAGTCGCGCACCCGTTGGTTGAAAGTGTGTCGCGGCGATCCATCTGTAACATTTCGAATATTTCTCGTAGCGCTGCCTGGATCGAGACAAGAACGACTTCGCAATGTCTACGATTATTCGGTCGATATCAAGGATAGAAACGCTTCCTTGTTATTTTATTCGAAGATAAATTATCGAATAACAGCGATAATATTTCTCGCACATGTCACACAATACTATTTAGCCTTAACGTTATCTAATTTTTAACGTTTCTATCGACACCCTATCGTATTTGTCGCGTTGGTTCGATTCGAACGAAAGCATTTTTTACATCCGTACACATAACGCGCAAACCGCTAACTGTTCTTTGTAATTAGTTATATTTACTATTACATATATAATATATAAGATACTTACCTGATTTCCCTTCCAACGTGATAAGTACTTCTGTAAAATCCTACTTCCTGATTGTTCAGCACACCTTCGAACCTTATCTTAATCATATAAAGTACATACGGTTTGAGATCTTCTTTGCAGTAAATCGTTAATGTCTCCAGTTTGTCATTGGGCAGGATAATTTTAGCCACGTTATTTTCTATCTCGACGCTATGTATGGTCAAATTCTTTTGATTCAATATCAACAAGGATGTCAGGCTCTTGACTTCGAAGAAAATTGTCACATTTCCCGTGAACTTAAACGACTGTAAATCCGGTTCCAATTCGAGCAGATACTTAATGGGCATCACGTTATTCTCGAGTCTATATCTTGCCCCTGTGCCGGGCAAGCTTGCCGATGACAGTAGTAACAGCGACAATAGTAGTAAAGGTGACATCTTAATGCTGTCAAATGCGGTAAATCACGGTAAGTCCGTGCGAATCCACTGTTAAAAATTACGATCAACAGATTCGAAACTGCGGCGATAGTTCTGTTACTTTCGTCACAAATGCGTACCTCGCGAAACGACAACCTTATACGTGGGCCAGCGTCCTTCAAATTCATATACGCGTAATTGTTTCCCCTTTATATAGTAGCTATTGACATATATAGATTGGTTTTGTATAGTAGCTATTGCTCTATCGGCATCGTTCGAACAATGTTGTGCCGTGTTATTGTCTCACCTTGATTCTTACCCGATACACAATTAACTTTCATAATATGCAGACACGATAGCACGATAATACGATGACGCGTCCATCGTTTCGCGATGGGTGTTCAAGTTTCCTTCTTTCCTCACCGGAAACTATTAAATATATAGCGCGATATGATCTTAGTTCATATAATCATGGAGAATCGTTCAAGATGAATAAACGTTTCGTTCTATCACACACACAGAAATGTTAAATATTAAATTCTTATTATGCACAATTATGGAGGATCGCTATTCATGGAAGGAGGACGGTAACGGATTTTTGCAGACGATTGGCATACAGTAACTGGCTCCAGAACTTCTTCTCTTATCTTTCTTTCAATATTCAAGGAAGATTTGATATTTGTTTATACCGATAAATGAAACTTTGAAATTTACGTTCTTTTCTTTTTTAAGTTCTTAAGAAATGTCAGTTAAATTGCTGAAGTTGTTTGCAGCAGGCTCCTATGCCCTAACGACATTTTATGCGATCGAAAATAGTAGTAATTAATACTTGTCCTGTCTGCCCTTTCGACGTAATCGAGTCCCCACTCGCTGCGATCACTTTGTCCAGAAAAATGTAATCTTCCCTTAAATAACCGGAAATCATTTTTATCGCTGGACAGACACGAGTTAACGATAGCGAAGATACAAATCGTAGGTAGCGCGTACATACATGCTGATAAGTTTTTGTAAATTCTATCTCAAGTGCTGTAATATACGATCCGCGTCCTGCGCGTCCCTGTCCAAAACATCGTTAATTACAGCGATTCTGTATTGTTTACGGACTCTCGATCCCTCCGATAGTGTCATCGCGAGATATCTATACGCGTAGGAATTTTCAATTTTAATATTACTACGTACGTATAGAAGACAATTATTTAGCTCATCGTTGTTGGCAAAGTGAATCGCACTGAAACTGTACGAATCCCTAAATCCATACAACAATTCGCACCACGTTAAATTACGCAAAGGGTGACAACACAATTTATTTCATACATCTTTATAGATATTTTGCAGAATATGTAAGCTTTATTAAGGTCCACACATAATAATATGCGAGTAATGTATCATGCAATTACATGTACCAGTTAATTGAAATATAAAAATACGTTCGATACTTGTTCGCATAATGTGATACCACGTGTCTTGCTTATTTCATGCGTTAAGTTTAAATTTGCTTTAAGAAACCGTTGCATTTAAAAAGTTTTTCATCAATTGTTTATCATAGCCAGATCAGTCATTTTATCTTGCAGAAATTTCGACGAGAATGTCAGAATAAACCAGATTCATAGCCAATAATTAGATCAATAGGTAATTTCCGAAAGGCAATTCACAATTATCCGACGTATCTGTCACACATGATTATATATATATAGTATATGAATAATAAGAAAAAGAATAATAATGAGATTATATGATAAGAGTAATAATAAGAACATTTAATCCTTTCACCCGATCGGTGACTCCAAGTCACCGCTTAAAATTGTTACACAACGATTCGATATAATTGTAACGTTATAAAATTTGCTTGTATCGTAAAAACTGTTAAAATTGCAATTGTCGCGCAAGTCGTAAAAGTAAATTTCAGATATATCGAAAAAGCATTTAAAGCATACAAAATGAAAGTACTGTAAATCAGAAAATCTATTTTGAATTCAGAGTTAAAATGGCTTCGAGTGCAAAGGATCAATGTAATGTAGTAATATAATAATAATGATTATATAGTAATATAGTAATAATATGATTATGTATAATATATTAATAATATTATTATGTATTAATAATATTATAATATATTAATAATATTTCAAACACCACACGCATGCAAGTAATTATGAATTAAAACAATATGTTATTCGAAATAATATTCTGAATAATATTATTTCAAATATGCCCAGATCTTAGTAGAATAGCGGTATGAATATCGGAAGGATCACAAGAAATGACGTGATCATGGCTCTGGTACTGGTCGATTTGAAATGTTCTTCGTGCTCGACGAGCCATTGCTCGATTACGCTTCTGTAGTTAAGGACCCAATCTACGTTTCTGGCTGTCGTCTCCACTATATCGACCAGGACATTCGGTTTAGGTTTAGCGTGGATAATGAATCTGTGCATCTGCAAGACAACGATCCGAAAAAGAATTAGAAACGGTACTTTGAAAATATCGCCGATTCGATACCGTTCATTGAACTTTATTAAAAAATCTGATCTCCCATGATTTTAGCAAAAGATATAATCCGTCATATTTGATTGAACAGAAAACTTGCTTTCAACTACTCCGATAACACAGTGGAATATTTAAAAAATGACAAAAGCGCGGCACGTTATTCACCGTACCTTTATGATGTCGTCTTCGTCTAGAATTGCATTGGCAATACTATACATGCAAGTCTCGAGTTTCTGATCGGCTCCCTCCCTAAAACGTTCGGAATAGCATTAACGTCAAGGAATATCGAAGCTGGTCGAATTCACACTTACAACTTCGCGATAGTTTTGTACTCTTCCTCGAGTTTGTTCAAAACAAATCCAACGCTAGAAAGGTTTTCTGGTTTGAACACTTGATTGTTAGTCACGATAGAATCTACGGCAACATCGATATACGCAGGGTACGTTTTCAAAGACTCTGTGATCACTTTCTCGAGAATCGTACGGTTCTGCGAGCAACCGGCGACTCTGAGCAGAAGGTCCTTGTCATCTACGTCGAACGTGGAGGTAGTCAGCCTTTTTAGAATAGCCTTGAACAACGTCTCGTTAGCGGTTTTCAGTCCAGTACAAAGGATTCTGTACTTTAGATTTGCGTCGAGTCTGCAAAATATTATTAACACCGATACCATTGTTGTCTTTGTATTTACTCCGAATTTGTACACAATGATTTTCAGAAAAAAGTTACTGGGGCATATTAGGACCATGAAATGAAAAGAGCAAAAACTATTAGGAGAACCATCGTCGTATTTTATACCATCCATTGCAGTAGAAGAATCGAATACTTACTCGTGCTTGTCGTCGATGACCCACGTGTCGAACTCCTTCTTGGCGGGATCTATGCATTCTTTAATATGAATCGTGCATGCCCATCGAAACCCGTTCGTTTTCAGGATTTTCGTGGTGTGGGAGTCCTGTGGCGAAATTGTATACTTTACGTATTTTGTTAAGCCTCGCATTATGTACCTGACGTAATCCTGGAAAGATAAACAATGTATTATGTAGGGAGAGCGATCGAGTTTGCGTCACAATAAAGAAGTATACAAGTATAATAAATAAGTAGCAAAAATAATAAATTGTTGAACTCGTTCGCGTCCATACCTCGAAAATGTGATACTGTTTGGAGGTGCTGAGCATCATTCTCAACCAATCCAAGTTCCTAAACGCAGACATCCACGGAATGTAGTCTGTTTCGTTCTTCAGGTACAGCGTCAGGTTCAATGCGGTGGTATAACTTATGAGGTTTCTGCGGGCCAAGTTCAAAGCGTCGTCTATCAGTTGTGCACGGGTTATAGGATGTATTTTCTTGGAGTCGGTAATCAGGTACTGCGTGATTTTCTCCCAAATGTGCTTTTCATAATTGACGCGGTAGTAGCCTGCAATGTAACAAGTCGAGAAATGAGCCGCGACATTAGACTTTAATATTCGAACGAACGAAGTAGATAACATCGAACTTGGAAAAAGACTGGATATGGCTCTCGGCGAAATATTTTGAATAAAGGCGACCGATTCCAGACAAAGTCTTTTAATTTCAAATTGCTCGAACGAAAAAACATTTTCTTCCAATGCGAATGTAGCAAATTGCAGGTACCTGTCTGTAGGTTGTTCACAATTATCCAATCGGAGTTCACGTTCGGAAGCTCGTGAAAGTCATCGGTCGGCGATATCCAACTAGTCGGCACGGTCTTCGAGAAATCAAGATTCTCTTTCGTGACGTATGTTATGGGTACCCACCACGTCGTCTTATCGTCACATTCGTAATACATGAATCGTTCTTGAGTCAACACGTAATTGCCATCCTTCTGTTTCACGGTCACCACTGGGTATCCCGGTTTTGTGATCCATGTCTTCATAATTTCGCTCAACTTCACACCATCCCAGAGCATGTAGTCTCCAGCAGCAGCTTGAAGTTGTAGGATCAGATCATTGGAATCGGCGAACCACAATTCACTGTAAATATCATCGGTAGGTGTAACTCGCGCGTATGTTTTCGATTCGCATAGATGGACAATAAGCATCGACGGAATACGTGGTAACCGATAAATTGTACGAGACCGAATGCGTTATTTTAAAATTATATAAGAATTTATTTACCGAATTATTAACATTATTGAAATTTCCTTGCGACACTTACTTGTCTTTCAAGTACGTTCTCATGCCTTTCACGAAGACCTCCTCTGTCAAAATGTGAGACATCATTCGAATAATGGATCCACCTGTAAAATATTCGTTTTATGGTATAATTATTGTAATTTTTTAGTTGTTACGCTCTACGCGCTCTACGTTTAAGCTCCGCATATGGCGATAAGTATGATCATTTTCTATTTCAGGGTGTTTCGTTTAATCTCGTATACTTTATTTTGCTTTTAACGGTGACAAGTTTACTACTATCAACGTTCTTGCCTTTCTTATAAACGATTCCACCGAACACATCGGAAATTTCGCTTGGATTGTCCACACCGTGGTTCAAGGCTCGCGAATCCTCGATTCCGTCTAGATAAAAGGCGACTTGCTGCATATTCACGACAATCATTTCCATTAAACGCCACGATGGCTCTATCTGAAAGTAAATATTTTCCACTAAGAATTTTTGCACGAGATTGTTTTATGCATCGACTCTTTATCTCCGGGCCCTTATCCCGTTGAACCTTACGGACGTCACAAATGTTCTGGCATCTTTCTTTTAATCATTTCACGTAATAGTCGAAGGTTTTCAAATACGCGAATTTCAATTGTACTTACTTTGTCCACGATGTAGTAATTGTAGTAAGTTGCGAATCCTTCGTTCAGCCAAATGAACTCCCACCATTTTGTGCTGACCAGATTCCCAAACCATTGGTGCGCGAATTCGTGAGCTATGATTATCGATATCTTTTCCTTTTGACGATTCGAGTAAATGCCCTCCTCGTACAGAAGAGAATTTCCCCTTTAACAGAAATAAGAAAGCGAATTATTCGAGAAGGATGATACTTATTTTTTAGAAAATATACCTCACAGTTTGGGACGAATAAAAAACTTTCAACTCAGTGTTATATTCGAAAAATGTTCAAGATATGGAAATGAAAAGTATGAATAGAGCCGTGTGTCCAGTTTACGAGCTAACGGAAGGTCGCAAGAACGAATGCTTATTCTACCCTTATTTTTCTCTAATAATACCACCGTTGAATCAACGTCTGTAATAAATGATTTTGCGAAGTTCTTCGAGCTTTATCCTTGGTTTCTCTAGGGTTGAAACATCGTTGGAACAAAGAGCAAAAGACGAGGAATAAATTACCTGAAGGTAACGAGGCCCCAGTTTTCCATCGCGAGTGGGCCGATGTCTTTAATGGCAACTAGGTCCATTTTCGGCATGGATTCGGAGTATTTAATTCCGGTGAGGATATCTAATTGTTCCATCGCTTTCACGCTGAAATCCAGTGCGTACGACGTGCGTTCAATGGACTCTGGTTTCGTGTAAATTTTGAAAGTGTCGTTCGTAGGATGAGCTCTGTAAGCGTAATCCGAGACCANAGTGTTATATTCGAAAAATGTTCAAGATATGGAAATGAAAAGTATGAATAGAGCCGTGTGTCCAGTTTACGAGCTAACGGAAGGTCGCAAGAACGAATGCTTATTCTACCCTTATTTTTCTCTAATAATACCACCGTTGAATCAACGTCTGTAATAAATGATTTTGCGAAGTTCTTCGAGCTTTATCCTTGGTTTCTCTAGGGTTGAAACATCGTTGGAACAAAGAGCAAAAGACGAGGAATAAATTACCTGAAGGTAACGAGGCCCCAGTTTTCCATCGCGAGTGGGCCGATGTCTTTAATGGCAACTAGGTCCATTTTCGGCATGGATTCGGAGTATTTAATTCCGGTGAGGATATCTAATTGTTCCATCGCTTTCACGCTGAAATCCAGTGCGTACGACGTGCGTTCAATGGACTCTGGTTTCGTGTAAATTTTGAAAGTGTCGTTCGTAGGATGAGCTCTGTAAGCGTAATCCGAGACCACGAACGCCACCAAATAAGTCGACATGGGTTTGGTGGGTGGGAAAACGGTGACTTTCATCCTACCATCGTCTATCGTGTTGAGTTTAGGCATATTGGAGATCACGGCCGTGTATTTCGCTAAATGTCTGATCGTAATTTCAAAAATCGCTCTGTACTCGGGCTCGTCCCAGCATGGAAACACAAGTCGCGCACCGGTTGGCTGAAAGTGTGTCGCGGCGATCCATCTGAAACAATTTGAAAAGATCGTTGTTGTTCCGACCAGATAGTTTTCCTACCGGATGGCACGAGCAATCGAACGTTCTGCAATTGTTCGTTGCTGTTTAGCGATGGACAGGCATTATCAGGCAGGCGTTGTATACGAGATGCTTACCTAATGTCGTCTCCAACGTAATACGAGGTCTTGTACAATCCCAATTTCTGATCGTTCATCACACCTTCGTAGCTTATCTTGATAGTGTAAGCTACGTACGGTTTGAGATCTTCTTTAAAATAAATCGTCAATATTTCCTGATCATCGTCGGCTTGAACAACCCTAGCCAAATTATTCTCCATCTCGACAGCCTTTATCGTCAAGTTCCTCTGATTCAATACTATCAAGGAAGTCAGGTTCTTGATCTCGAAAACAATCATCACGCTTCCCTTGAACTTGAACGTCTCCAAATCCGGTTCCACCTCGAGTATGTATTTAATGGGTACCGCCTGATTCTCGAGTCTGTATTTTGCTTCTACCCCGGACCAGCTTGCCGACGATAGTAGAAACAATGACATCAGCATTAAAGCTGTCATCTTGTATCGTTTCGCTCTCTAAACTACGTGCAATGGAAGATCCCTCTGCGATGGTCCTGTCTTAAGAAAATGCGAATGTTAGATCTTTCGGGGAAATCGGTAAATCTGCGACAATTCTGTTATGTTCGTCGCAAATGCGTGCTGCATAATCTCATAATAAAAAAGAGTTTCGACTGGAAATGTTTGTTCCTTGTTTCAAGATGAAACAAGGACTGGAAGGAGATCCGAGGAACAAAGAGTCGGAAGGCGAAAGGGAAAAGGTAACGCATTTAGGTTAAAGGAGCATCAACGAATTAATGTGGAAATATTCGACGTTCGTTTCAACTAAGAAAAGGCGATGATCGACGCTGAGAAATAAAGAACTGCCGAGCAACATTTTGTTCTTGCTCAAACTATCGAGCTACTTTCACAGTTTAACGAGGAAAAACTTATACATTCGTTTCTCATTGATCGTAAAATCTCCGATAGGGTCACTTCGTTGTTCAAAAATACTACTTCGAAACGAACAAGTTATGTTTCTACTTGCCTAAATTTGAAGTTAAACGAATCGATTGTACGTAATATCTGATTGCAAACGCGGATATCGAATGTCTTCGTAGATTCAACCTATCCGAGAACGTGTCACACGCGAACTGATTGTAGCTACTGAAATAACCGTTTTCAAGAGTATAAGTGTAGGTCGTTTCTTGTCACTGGATGCTGATGTTTGCGGAAGTAGACGAATCTATTACTGATACGTGCGAACAGACCTTGGCGAAACGGAAGACGGAAGAGAATCCTTTTCGTCGATCGTATCCGTTCGTGAACTAACCCGCACAGTTTTCCTGAGAAATAACGTCGTCCCCGAAAGACGGTACGGAGGATCGCCCGATAGTATCCGACGATAACTAATTCGAAAGCGTTTGAATGTCACGGTCTCGATAACGTACCTCGCGGAACGACAACCTCATACGTGGACTAATGTCCTTCAAATTCATGTACGTGTAATTGTTTCCACTTTATACAGTAGCTATCGACGAATAGACCGTTTACATTAAATACATGTCAGAAAATTCTATACCTGCCTCGTTCGTTGCCCTATCGGTATCATTCGGACAATGTTGTGCTGTTGTGTCATTGTCTCACCTTGATTCTTGCCTGATACACAATGAATTTACCGATTTACCGTACTATTTCGTGATGGACGATCAAATTTTCTCCTTTTCTCGCCAGAAACGATCGAACGTAACGCAATGCTATTAGTTGATATAATTATGGACAATTGATTACAAGATTATTAAACATTTCTTTGTTCTTCTTCTGTCCAAGCCGTGTAATTGTTTCAATTGGTCGAAAGAAAGTTAATCGAACATGTTAAAAGAAGCGCATTGTGTTTCTGTCATTTAAAAAATTAAAGATAATTTTATTCGTTTAGCGTCTGCATACGCTAAAAATATCTCGAAATATCTTTAGCGAAAACTGTGATTTAAATTACCAGAAGCTTTGTTGCTACAGTTTACATTTGCTGATCGACGACGATCGATTGAACGTAATAACAATCGTGATATTCGATGGCAGTATTTATATTATTCAAAAAATCACATTTCTTGTTCGAGAATCTAAGAAATCGTCGGTCTTAGGTAATCGTTTAATAATGATTCTATGTAGGAACAATGTTTGTTACGGGAGGGTTGGACAGATAATCTGAAATAAAAATCGATTCATGTTTATCACGGTTTTATTTACCGAGATCAATTACGAACAGCAGATCGCAACAGGACGCAGTAATTGGCTGCCATAGCGACATTATGTACAATCGAAAACGGTACTAATTAATACCTGTTCCGTCTGCCCTTCCGACCTAATCGAGTCCCCCTCGCCGATTACTTTGCCCAGAAAAATGTAATCTTCCCTAAAATAACTGGAAATCATTTTTATCGCTAGACAGACACGAGCCAAGCGCGTACATACATGCTGATAAGTTTTTGTAAATTCTATCTCAAGTACTGTAGTAAACGATCTGCTTTCTGTGCGCATCCCTGTCCAAAACATCGTTGATTACGGCGATCCTGTCTCGATCTCTCTGATAGTGTCATCGCGAGATATCGATACTTGTAGGAATTTTCAATTTTAATATTACGATTTGTTCGCGCGAAATAGATTAACCTGGGATTGACCTCGCACAGATCTAATTCAAACTTGACTCGGACCTTATCTATATCTAAGCCCAGACCTATCTCAACTATTCGTATCGCTACGAAATATTAACATGGACCTCTATTTAGGAGTTGACAAGCTACTGTTACATAAAGAAAAGTTTATTGAACAAACATTTTTCGTCGAATAATTTTCTTCTATTATTACACAGATATAAAACATTTATTGCATCGGTGCACAATTTATTTCATACATCGTTATAGATATTTTGCAGAATTTATAAGTTTCATTAGAGTCTATTTATAATCACATGTAAATTATGTACAATCGTGCAATTACACATACCAGTTAATTACAATATAAAAATATAAAAATATAAAAATATAAAAATATAAATATATAAAAATATAAAAATATAAAAATATAAAAATATAAAAATATAAAAATATAAAAATATAAAAATATAAAAATACATTCAATACTTGTTCGCACACTGTATCCTGCTTGTAACATTATTATTTAGTATTGTAATACCACGTGTCTTTCCCATTTCATGCGTTATCAATTTCGTAAAATTTCGATATACGAGTCTAGAAATATATTATATTGTCGATTTTATTTAAACCTGTTCAAATTGTCAATAATCGATAAAACTTCATACTTTTGTTCTATTTAAAACCCTGTCGCATTATTTTCAATCAGACCTGGGCAAATTTTATTTCCACATTGAAAATAAGAAATATCTATTTCAAATAATTCATTTGGAACCATTACTTTCGATGTTACCATTTGAAAATATATATAATATCGCTCCGTTTGAAATAATAGCAATTTCAAATATTGAATTATTTCTTTAGTTTTCTATTTTAAATGTGACAAAGAAAGTTAATCCTCCAAATAATATGCAATTATAAAATTTTACTCTAAGAAACCGCGTTGCGTTTAAAAGGCTTCTGCTTAATTGTATGAAATACCTGATTCAGACAATTCTAAAACAATATATTAATAATATATTAACCCTTTGCAGTCGACTGGTAACTCCGAGTCACCACTTTAAATTGTTACAAAACGATTTAAAGTAATGTTAGCGTTATCAAATTTGTTTGTATTTTAAAAACTGTTAAAAGTGCAATTGCCGCACTAGTCGTAAAGTCACAAAAACTATTTCGAATTCAGAATTTAAATGGCTTCGTGTGCAAAGGATTAATATAATACATTAATATATTAATAATTACATACGATATAGTACATATAAATATATTATATATAAAAATATATATTAATTAATATATCAATATATATTAGTAATCATATAGAATATCTTAAAAATATAATGATAAAGTCATTATAATAATAATATTTCAAATATCGCCATCTCAAAAGTGACCACAGGCATGTAAATAATTATGAATTCAAATATGTTGTTATTTGAAATAATTTCGATAACATGCGAGAAATGTTCCACAACGATCTTTTTAGTAGAATCGCGTTATGAATATCGAAGGAATAAGAAGGAATAACGTGAACGTGACCATGGCCATGCCGTTGGTCTGATTTGGCACGGGCGATCTGAATTGATCTTTGTGCTCGATCAGCCATTTCTCGATTGTACTTCTGTAGTTAAGTACCCATTCTATGTTTCGGGCAGATATTTGCATTACCTGGACCAGGACCTTCGGTTTAGGTTTAGCGTTGATGATGAATTTGTGCATCTGCAAGAAAACGATTCGAAAAAGAATTAGAAACACAATACTTTGAAAATATTGCCGATTCAATATTGTCCAGTGAACTTTGTACAAAAATCTGATCTCCCATGATTTTAGCAAAAAGCGAACCTTGTAACTCGTAATATTTCATTCAAAAGAAAACTTGCTTTCAACAAGTCCAATAATAGCGTAATGTTTTAAAAAATCATAAAAGCGTCTCATGCTATTCGCTCTGTACCTTTATGATGTCATCTTCGTCTATAATCGCTTTGGCAATACTATACATACAGGACTCGAGTTTCTTCTCGGCTCCTTTCCTGAAACGATCGGAACAGTCGTCACGACAAGGAATTAAAGCACGTCGATATATTCGATCAAATTGTCGCTTACAACTTCGTGATTTTCTTGTACTCTTCCTTGAGTTTGTTCAGAACAAGTCCGATACTGGAAATGTTTTCGGCTTCGAACATTACATTATTAGACACGATAGCTTGTACGGCAACTTCGAGCTCGATATACGCAGGGTTCGTTTTCAAAGACTCTACCAACAGTTTCCTAAGTATCGTACTGTTCCTTGAACAACCCAAAACTCCGAGCAGACTGGTCTTCTCTTCTGAGTCGAATACGGTAGTAGCCAGCCTCTTTAGAATAGCCTCGAATAACGTCTCATTAGCAGATCTCAGTCCAGAGCAGAGAATGTTGCCCTTTAGATTTACGTCGAGTCTGTAAAATATTATTAAAACCGATGCTAACGTCGTCTTCGTATTTACTCCGAATTTGTATACAATGATTTTCAGAAAAGTTACTGGCATATTAGGGGGGACCATGAAATGAAAAGAACAAAAACTATTAGGAGTACCATCTGTCGTATTTTATACCATCCATTGCAGCAGAAGAATCGAATACTTACTGATACTTGTCGTCGAGAACCCACATGTCGAACTCCTTCTTGGCAGAATCTATGCATTCTTTAACATCGAATCTGCATGCCCATTGGAACGCTTTCGTTTTTAGTATTTTCATGGTATGGGAGTCCTGTGGCGAAATTTTATACTGTACATGTTTTGTTAAACCTTGCATTATGTACTTGAAGTAATCCTAGAAAGATAATCCAAGTATTATATGGGAAGAGCAATCGAGTTTGTGTCATAATAAAGACGTATATAAGCAACGAATAAGTAGCAAAAATAATAAATTGTTGAATTCGTTCGGAACATTATTTATTTGTTCGCCTAACGACACAGTCCTACGGATTAGCCTCTCGCGTCCGTACCTTGAAAATGTTATAGTGTTTGGAGGTGCTGAACATCATTCTCAACCAATCCAAGTTCCTAAACGCAGACATCCACGGGATGTAGTCTGTTTCGTTCTTCAGATACAGTGTCAGATTCAATGCGGTTTCATAATTCGTGTAGTTTCTGCGGGCCAAGTGCAAAACGTCATCTATAAGTTGCGCACGGTTCACAACATGTATTTTCTCGAAGTTGGTAAACAGATAGTGCGTTATTTTCTCCCAAATGTGCTTTTCATAATTGACGCGGTAGTAGCCTGCAATATAACAAATTTCAAGTTTCAATATCGTTATTCGTTGCCGAAGCAGACAGCGTAAACGAAGGAATATCTTCTTTCAATGCAAATCGGAACGATCCATTTTTCCGAACCAATCTACCGTTACTCGCGCAAATGCTATTAATGCAACAAACGAATGCAACGAATGCAACAAACTACTACACGTACCCGTCTGTAGATTGTTCAGAAGTATCCAATCGGAATTCACGTTCGAAATCGTGTGACTGTCCGCGGTTGGTTTCAACCAAATAGTCGGCGCAGTACCAGTGAAATTAAGATTATCTTTCGTGACGTATGTTATGGGTATCCACCACTTTGTCTCTTCGTCGTATCCGTAATACAGGAATCGTTCTTGACTCAGTACGAAATTGTCTCTGCTCTGTTTCACAATAACTACCGGGTATCCAGGTTTTGTGATCCATGTCTTCATAATTTCGTCGAATTTCACGTCTTCCCATATCGCCTGGTCTCCAGCTGCAGCTTGGAGTTGTTCGATCAGATCATCGGAATCGGCGATCTTGTATTGACTGCACACAGGTGTAGGTAGGTGTAACTCGCGCATACGTCTTCGGTTTAAATAGAATTTGTTCGCATTTAGAGACGATAGTATCGGGGCAATAACGAAATACGTAGCAGCTAACCGAGTTTTTTATTAAACGAAAATGCTTAACCTCTCGTAATAGTTGCACCGAACGATACGCTCATCCAATTCGTTGACTTATTGAAATAACCTTGCGATACTTACTAATCTTTCAGATACATTCTCACGCCTTTCACGAAGACCTCCTCTGTTAAAATGTGGCACATCATTCGAATAACGGATCCACCTGTAAAATATGCGTTTTATAGAATAATTTTTATAATTTCTTGTGTTCCTTCTCTCTCCGCGCGGGTATAAGGATTAAACTTTGCATATGCGTACACAAAATTATTCCTTTTTCTATTTCGTAAAGTCACGTTGAGGTATGTGTAGGACTAATTTAGTGACATGTACAGAGTTTTTTGTTTTATCTTGTACGCTTCGAGACCTTCGTTACTTTAGCAGGTACAAATACAAATCATCGTATCTTTTTCAAATTCATCTTTATCAGCTACAACAATACGATAGTGAAAATCTATCGTTGAAAAATCGAACGGGAGGAAAGCATATCTTTTCTTGTAGTTACGAAAGTTACGGTAAATAATGTTGATACTTTATCTGCCGGAAGTCTATTAATCGAATTTTCAATTACTGTGCTAAACGAAGAAAAATTTTCTTCCACGTGATAATCCCATACAAAATTATTAAATAATGTTGTTGGGAACGACTCGTTGATATACGATTGAAATAGTTGGCCTAACGAAATAATTTATCAAGTTTTCAACTGTAAAATATAGCCTTTCTTAATCGATAACGTGTGTAGCCTCGACGTGACAGACACAGTAATTAGATATGTTTCTGTTATTATGCGTACACCTGTCGTTCGATCGTCGCCCGTCAAGACAAAGTCGTTAAAGATTCGTTTTCCGATTATTTCGATCTGTCTCGAGTGTTAGAACAAGATCAATGTATGTGGAACAAGATCAGCTGTTACAGCCGATCCCTAGGTTTTCAAGTAGCCTCGATCAAAAAGGCACAAGTTACAAGGTTATGACAAGTTTGCTATTATTAACGTTCTTGCCTTTTTGATAAATGAGACTGGCGAACACGTCGGGTAGTTCGTTCGGGTTCTCTACGGCGTAGTTCAGGGGTCGCGCACTCTCTGTCGCGTCCAGTAATAGCGCCCCTTGTAGCGTATCCACAACAAACAATTCCATTAAACGCCATGTAGGCTCTATCTGAAAGCAAATATTTTTAACGAATTTGTTTCACGCCATCGGCGTAATCTCTATAGAATCGACCATATTATGTGAAATAAACCAAAATATCCAGTGAAATCGTAGAAAATCCTTTCGCTTAATCGTCGAAGGTATTCAAATGCACGAATTCCATTGTACTTACTTTGTCCGTGATGTAGTACAGGTAGAAAGTAGCGAATCCTTCGCTCAACCAAATGTAATCCCACCATCTTGGGCTGACCAGGTTGCCAAACCATTGGTGCGCCAATTCGTGGGCTATGGTCAATGCTGTCTGTTGCTTTTTATCGTTTGTATCAACGCCCTCCTTGTACAGAAGAAAATGCTCCCTTCGACAAAAATAAGAAAGCGTATTATTTATGAAAGATGATACGCATTTTTTGGACCATATACTACGCAGTTCCGGATGAATAAATCTCGATTAGTTCATCGCGTTTAGGCGCACGCACGTTTAAAATAGTTTTCCTAGGATCGAAACGTTGCCGGAACGAAGAGCGAAAAGCGAGGAATAAACTACCTGTAGATAATAAGGCCCCAGTTCTCCATACCGAGCGGAGTGAAGTCTCTAATGGCAACTTGGTCAATTTTCGGTATGAATTCGGAATATTTAATTCCGGTGACGTTATTTAATTGTTCCATCGCTTTCACGCTGAAGTCCACCGAGTATTTCGTACGATCGATGGACGCTGGTTTTGTGTAAATTTTGAAATTGTCGTCCATATCGTGAGTTCTGTAGACGTAATCCGAGACCACGAACGCCACCAAATAGGTTGACATGGGCTTGGTAGACTCGAACGAGGTAACTTTCATTCCACCATCGTCTATCGTGTTGAGCACGGGCATATTGGAGATCACAGACGTGTACTTTGGTAAATGCCTGATCGAAATATCGAAAATCGCTTTGTACTCGGGCTCGTCCCAGCATGGAAACGCGAGCCGCGCACCCGTTGGTTGAAAGTGTGTCGTAGCGACCCACCTGTAACATTTCGAAGGTTTGCGCTTAGTGCTGCCTGGATCGAGACAAGAACGATTTTGTAACATTTACGACTGTTCGGTCCATGTTGAGGATAGAAGCGCTTCCTTCGTCGTAAATGATAGCGACGAATCACGGGTGATTCGCACCTTGGCGCGTTGTTATTTTATTCGAAGGCAAATTATTGGAAAATGATGAAATTGCTCGGACATGTTAGACCGAATACTATTTTGTCGTATCGTACGTCTCGACGTTATCTAATTTTTAACGTCTCTATCGACTCTGTCGTATTTTCACGTTGACTCGATTCGAAAAAAAAAGCATTTTTCATACTCGTACACATAAAATGCAAGCCGCTAACCGTTCGTTGTAGTTGGTTACATTTACTGTAACAATATTCATCGTACGATCATCGCGCTACGGACAGACGTGATATACAAGATACTTACTCGCGTATCTTTCCATCGAAATTCCTGCTTTTGTAAAATCCTATGTTCTGATCGTTCAGCACACCTTCGAACTTTATCTTGATACTGTAAACTACGTACGGTCTGAGACCTTCTTTGAAGTAAATCGTCAATATCTCCAGATCATCGTTGGGGTCGACAAACCTCGCCGGATTATTTTCTATCTCGACACTCTTTATGGTCAGTTTCTTTTGATTCAATACTAACAAGTATGTCAGGTTCTTGACTTCGAAAGAAATTGTCACATTTCCCGTGAACTTAAACGATTTTAAGTCCGGTTCCAATTCGAGCATGTACTTAATCGGTATCACATTATTCTCGAGTCTGTATTTTGCGTCAATGCCGGACCAGCTGATCGATGATAGTAGAAACAACGACAACAGCGTTAAAGCTGTCATCTTGAATCGTTCTGCCGTCGAAAGCATCTGTAATGGAAGATCCCTCTACGATGGTACCGTATTAAAAAAAATGCGAGTGTTAGATCTTTCGAGGAAATCGGTAAATCTGTGCGAATCCTCTGTTAAAAATTCCGATCAACAGATTCGAAACGACGACGATAGTTCTGTTACATTCGTCACAAATGCGTACCTCGCGAAACGACAACCTTATTATACGTGGGCCAGCGTCCTTCAAATTCATATACGCGTAATTGTTTCCACTTTATGTAGTAGCTATTGGCAGAGACTCTCGAATAGACCGTTTATATTAAACAGATGTCAGAAAATTCTATAACAATAGTGTGCTGTGTCACCTTGATTCTTACCTGATATACAATGAAGTTTCATAATACGGAGATTTATGCGAATACGAAATTTTAAATTCTGAAATATTAGATGAAATTCAACAATCCGAAGATTAAATAACCCGGATGATCGTGCGCGTGCATATACTCGAACGTTGCGAAGAAGTAAATCAGCACAAAATTCAAGAATCTCTAAAAAATCATAGACATAGTTGCTCCTGTTGAAACTGATTCGAACACCGAATAAACACCACCCAATGAAAATATCAGTCGTGCGCATAGATGGTGCTTCCATTTTGCAGAAAGCTTTTCATTATTTAAAACGATAAAATTGCAAATTAAGTCAAATTCCGAATTGTGCTTACAATTATGCTTGCCGTTTATATAATAAGAATATTCAAAAGTGTTTGCAATCTGAGAACATCGATGTTAGTTTCTGCAGCATAATTTCAAGATATTAACGTTAAGAATGATAATATCGACAAATTTAAAGCAACAATTTTACGTCTATAGACTACATCCACGGTAACAAATTATACATAGATCTGCCTTATCGAAAAATTAAGCTAGTATCGAGTAAAGAAAAGATTACTACGCAAATATTTTGCGTTATGTCGAGGTTATTACACAGATATAAAACATTTGTTGCATCGGTGCACGATTTATTTCACACATCATTATAGACGTTTAACAGAATTTGTAAGTATCGTTAAGGTCGCGCGTAATCGCATGTAAATTATGTACAATCGTGCAATTACGCGTACCAGTTAATTAAAATACATATAAAAATACATGCAATACTTGCTCGCGTACCGTATGCTGCATGTAACATTACTATTTCTAATCTCTTCGTAATCTCGTTATCAATTTAAAAAAGATTTCGATATGCAAGTTTTGAAAACCTTGTCTTTTGCGGAGAAACATTCCGCGTTACTAGATTATGATATTTTCGATTTTATTTAAACTGTTCAAACGATCGATAAACGCTAAAATCCATACATTTGTCACATTTAACAACCAGTCGCGTTACTTTCAATCAGACCCGAGCAAATTGTATTTCAAATGAGAGTAAGAAATAGCTATTTGAAATCATTCATTTCGAACCGTTATTTTCAATGCTCTATTGGAAAATACAAATAACATTGATCCATTTGAAATAATAGCAATTTCAAATATTGAATTGTTTCTTTATGTTTTTCATTTCAAATGTGACTAATAATCTACCAAATAATATGCAACGATAAGATTTTAGAATAGAATGGGGTGGAAAGGATGTTAGAATACACCAGTCACAGAGCTAATAATCAGATCAAAACGTAATTTCCAAAAAGCAATTCACAATTAACTGGCATACCTGTTTCGAATAATTCTAAAATAATATCTTAATAATATTTCAAAAACGACGTTGTTTCAAAAGCGATCACAGGCATGTAACTAATTATGAAGTAAAATAACATGTTATACGAAATAATATTTCAAACAATGTGTTTTCATATATGCCCGGGTCTGCTTTCGATACATTGACATTATTATATTCGATTCGTTTAAACATGTTCGTGACAAATATTTATCTTTGCGTAAATCTCTGCAATCTGTTCGTTGCGTTTCGAAATGACACCTCGATAGCATGCGAGAAATGTTCCACAACAATCTTTTTAGCAGAATCGCGTTACGAATATCGAAAAGACGAGAAGGAATGACGCGAGGGTGATCGTGCCCGTGCCCGAGTCATCGGGCAATTTGATATGACCTTCGCTCTCGACTAGCCAACGTTCCACTGTACTTTTGTAGTCGGTCGTCCAAACTAGGTTTCTGGATGACTTTTCCATCGCGCTCGAAAGGACGTCTGCTTTGATTCCAGCGTTGGCGATGAATTTATGCATCTGCGAGAAGACGATTCGAAAAAGAATTAGAACCATTATTTTGGATATATTGCGCACCGAACTTTGTACAAAAAACTGATCTCCCACGATTTTAGCAAAAAGCAATCCTTACAGTCCGTAACGTTTGATTCGACAGAAAACTTGCTTTCAATAATTGCAATAATAGCGTAACGTAATTTCAACGACGATAAAAGCGCGTCGTTCGCCATACCTCTATGATGTCATCTTCGTTTACAAGTGCATTGGCAACGCTCGCAATGCTGGACTGGATCATCTTGTTCCCGTTGTCCCTGAAACGATCGGAATAGTATCGCGCGAAGGAATTAAAGCACATCGATATTCGGTCGAATTCTCACTTACAACTTCATGATATTCTTGTACTCTTGCTTGAGTTTGTCCAGAACAATTCTAACGCTAGAAGTATTTTTCAAAATTTGATTATTAGACACGATAGCTCCTACGGCAACATCGAGGTCGATATTCGGGTTCGATTTCAAAGCCTCCGAGATCAGACTCTCGAGAATCTCGCGTTTCTGCGAGCAACCCATAACTCCGAGCAGACTGTTCCTCTCGTCTTTGTCGTACGTGGAGTTAGCCAGCCTCGTTAGAACAGTCTCCCATACCGTTTTATTAGCGGTTTTTAGTCCAGTACAAAGGATATTGGTCTTTAGATCCGCGTCGAGTCTGTAAAATATTATTGACATCGATGTTATTGTTGTTTTTTTTTTCAAAATAAACTATGAACTGCTATACATTGATTTTCACAAAAGTTACTGGCAGAGCACAAAGGTGTGTTGATCCACTTTTGGGCGAACCAACCATTGTATTTTATTCTTAGCCGGCGTATAAAATAATAAACGCACGGATGATCAAAGCTTTAGTAAGATATCAAATAGAAATAGAACGTTAGGATCACTTTTGACTCTGGTATACCAGCTAATGGTTAACGTTGCCTTCGTCCGCATAATTTTCATTTCGAATAACAGGAAAATAATTACATACAACGGTGCTCGAGAGTTAATTAAGATAACATTAGATACCACGATATTAATCGTCTGTCAACAAAACCATTGATTTCAGTGTTCAAAGGCTGATCAAGAAGCGAGTGAGTTACATCTAGGAATCTCTCCTTGTTCGACGAGGGAGGCGATGGTTTTACAAATAAATTGACATCACGCGCCAGTAGACGAACAAACTAACGCGTTTGCGATAGAAGTACTGAAAACTTACAGGTGCTTGTCGTCGTTGAGCCACATTTGGAAATGTTCATTGGCGTAATCTACACATTCTTTAACATCGGCTTTGCACGCCCACTTGGCCGCATTCGCTCTCAGGATTTTCGTGGGGTGATCTTCCTCTTCCGACGTCGCTTCATATTTTACATCTTTCGTTATACCTTGCATTATGTACTTGATGTAATCCTGGAGATATATACAAAGTATTATATGAGGAGAGCAATCGAATTTGTGGCAGAGCAAATAAGTAAGCAAGTAATAAATATGTAACAAAAACAAAATAACGAAAGGTTGAATTCATTCGGAAGATTATGTATTTGTTCTCCGAACAACACAGTCCTAGGGATTATCGGCGCGCGTTCGTACCTTGAAAATTTGATAGTGTTCGGAGGTGGAGATCATCTTATTCAAGAAATCCAAATTCCTAAATGTAGTCATCCACGGAATATAGTCTGTTTCATTGTGCAGATACAGTGTCAGGTTCAGTGCGGTGGAATAACTCGTGAAGTTTTTGCGGGCCAAGTTCAAAGCGTCGTCTATCAGTTGTGCACGGTTTATAGGATGTATTTTCTTGAAGTCGGTAAGCAGGTACCGCGTTAATTTCTCCCAAATTTGCTTTTCATAATTGACGCGGTAGTAGCCTGCAACGTAACAAGTCGAGAAATGAGCTGCGAGATACAGCTTTGATATTCGAACGAACGAACAAACTAATTTCAAGGGTATCATTCAACTTAGAAATCATCACGGTCGATGATTTCTAAGTCGAATGTTGATAAACGATGGAGGAAGAATCACCCGTGTGTATTTAATTGAATATACATTTCTTTTGCTATCGGTTGTTGGGAATATGCACGCTATTGAAAAATGTCCCGACGCAAGGAATGCAGCAAACAACGCGTACCTGTCTGTTGCTTGTTCACAATTATCCAATCGGACTTGACATTCAAAATCTTGAGATTGTCCTCGGTTGGTTTCAACCACATAGTCGGTGTAGTAACAGTGAAATTAAGATTATCTTTCGTGACGTATGTTATGGGTATCCACCACTTCGTCTCTTCGTCGAATCCGTGATACAGGAATCGTTCTTGACTCAACAGGTAATTGTCGCCGTGCTGGATCACGGTGACCACCGGGTATCCAGGTCGTGTGATCCATGTCTTCATAATTTTATCGAGTCTCGCACCTCCCCATCTCGCCTGGTATCCAATCGAAGCTTGAAGGTGTTTGATCAGCTCATCGGAATCGGCGACGTTATATTGGCTGTAAACATTGTCGATAGGTGTAGCTCGCACGTATGTTTCGGGTTCATTTAGGATTCGTTCGCATAGATAGACCATTACCGACAACAACGAAATATGTACGTAGTAGCCGAGAGAGAGAGAGAGAGAGAGAGAGAGAGAGAGAGAGAGAGAGAGAGCGCGGTAAGATGTTATTAACCGAAATATTCTGATATCCGAACTATACGCTCGTCGAATTCGCGTTTATTGAAATTTCCTTTGCGATACTTACTTAGCTTTCAGGTACGAGTACAAGCCTTCCATGAAATGCTTCTCCGTCAAAATGCTGTGCATCATTCGAATAACGGATCCAGCTGTAAAATATCTGGTACTGTAGAACAATTTTTATAATTTTGTTTTTGTAGACGACGCGTTAACGTAAGAAATCCTTTGTAATTTATCGACGATCGACTCGATCGAAAAATATCATTTTCCATCATCGGATCGATAACATTAATAACCCCGGCGTGACAGACAAATTGATTAGATACGCTTCTGCTGTTATGCGTTCGCGTGTCGTTCGATCATCGCGCGTCGAGACGAAATCGTTAATGATTCGTTGCGCGGTTAATTTGATCTGTCTTATCTGCGAGAATAGGATCGGTGTATCGTAACTGCTGATCCCTAGGTTTTCAAGTAGCCTCGATCAAAATGGCACGAGTTACGCAACGCGAAGCGATAATTTGTATCGCGTAGACGCATCGATCGCGACAAGTTTACTATTATTAACGTTCTCACCTTTTTGATAAGCGATACTGTCGAACAATTTGGAAATTTCCGCCGGGCTGTCCACGGCTTGGTTCATGGGTCGCGCATTCTCGTATCCGTCCAGTGAAAACGCGCTCCCTTGCAACGCTTCCACAACGAACAATTCCATTAAACGCCACGATGGATCTACCTGAAAGCAAATACTCTCAACTGAGAATTGTTGCACGAATTTGTTTCGCGCTATCGGAGCGATTGCATCGGTTCTTTATTTTTCGCTTATGGTGTGAAACACTGTGTTCGTCGGAAATGTTCCGACGTCTTCCTTTTAAGGCATCGAGTATAAGTATAATTGTGCGAATTACATTATTTGTGAAATAGAGGAAAAGGTCTGAATATAAGTAGGTTGGATCATTTTAAGACACTAAATAGATAGACCGAAACTTGTAAAAGTGTTTCGATAGCATAATCTCTACAGAATCGACCATATCATTCCAAACGACCTAAAATCCAGTGGAATCGTGCGATATCCTTTTGCTCGATAGTCGAATTTTTTTAAATACACGAATTTCATCGTACTTACTCTGTTCGTGATGTAGTACTGGAAGAAAGTAGCGAATCCTTCGTTCAGCCAAATGAACTCCCACCATTTTGGACCGACCAGGTTCCCAAACCATTGGTGCGCAAATTCGTGGGCTATGGTTGTTACCATGGATTCCGTCATACGACTCGTGGTAATGCCCTCCTTATGTAGAAGATAGTTCTCTCTTTGACAAAAATAAGGAAGCGAATTATCCAAGAGAGACAATACGTATTTTTTAGAAAATACACCTCACAGTTGGGAATCTATAAATCTTGACTAATTTGTACGCTCAGGCGCACGCATATTTAAACTTGTCGATCGGAACTAAAAAGTTTTCAACTTAGCGTTGTTCGAAAAATGTCCAAGGTATGGAAATTAAAAAAAAATGAAAATTAAAAATTTAGATACACAGCGGTGTGTCCAGAGCTTCGCGCGACTTTCCGAGGCTATTGGAAGGCTCTTATTTCTAACGATACAACCGTTAAATCGACATCTGTAATTTAGCAGCAATCTTGCTAGATGCCAATCAATGATTTTGCGAAGTTCTTCGAAGTAGGAGATTTATATAATTTATTCTTAATTTTTCTAGGGTTGAAACATTGTTGGAACAAAGAGCATAAGGCGAATAATAAATTACCTGTAGGTAATCAAACCCCAATTTTCCATAGCACCTGCAGCGAAGTCTTTGACGGTAATTTGGTCCATTTTTGGCATGATGTCGGAATACTTAATTCCGGTGACGGCATTTAATTCTTTCATCGCTTTCACGCTGAACTCCAATGCGTATTCCGTGTCCTCTATAGAGTCTGGTTTTGTGTAAATTTTGAAAGACTCGTCCTTATAGTGAAATTTGTAGTCGTAATCCGAGACCGAAAACGCCACTAAATAAGTCGACATGCGCTTGGTAGACTCGAAAGTGGTAATTTTCTTTCCATCAGCGCCTGTCGTGGTGTTGAATACGGGCATATTGGAGATCACGGCCATGTATTTTGGTAAATGCTTGATCGAAATATCGAAAATCGCTTTGTACTCGGGCTCGTCCCAGCATGGAAACGCTAGCCGCGCACCCGTTGGCTCGAAGTGTGTCACAGCGATCCATCTGTAACATTTCGAAAATTCTTTGTTGCGCTGCCTGGATCGAGACAAGTTCGACTTCGTAATATCTTCGACTATATTACGACTACAGGCAGAGGCGTGATATACAAGATACTTACTTGACATCCTTTCCAACGAGATATCTGCTTCTGTAAAATCCACGTTTTTGATCGTTCAGCACACCTTCGTATTTTATATCAATCGTATAATTTTGTTTCGGTTCGAGATCTTCTTTGAAGTAAACCGTCACTGTCTCCAGTTTATCACTGACCAGGACATTCCTCACCGAGTTACCATTGTCTATGGCGATGCTCTGTATGGTCAAATACTTTTGATTCAGTACCAGCAAAGAAGTCGCGTTCTTGACCTCGAAGGTAATTTTCACATTTCCCTTGAATATAAGTGTCTGAAAGTCCGGTTCCACTTCGAGCACGTACCTAGTGGGTATCGCATTACCGTCAAGTTTGTTTCTTCCGTTTATACCGGTCCAGCTTGCCGATGATAGTAGAAACAACGACAACAGCGTTAAAGCTGTTATCTCGAATCGTTCTGCCTTCGAAAACATCTGTAATAGAAGATCCCTCTACGATGGTCCTGTCTTAAGAAAATGCAAATGTTAGATCTTTCGAGGAAATCGGTAAATCCGTGCGAATCCTCTGTTGAAAATCGCGATTAACAGATTCGAAACGGCGGCGACGGTTCTGTTATGTTCGTCGCAAATGCGTGCTGCATTGATCTCATAATTAAAAAGAGTTTCAAGTGGAAATGTTTGTTCCTTGTTTCACGATTGTCCTGAAAAAGAGGCCAGAGGGAGATTCGAGGAACGAAGCGTCGAAAGGAGAAAGGAATACCGATGTAGCTGCTCGTACTTAGGTAATCGACCGAGATAAGGTGAAGATGGACACCGAGGGATAAATAACTGCTGTGCAAAATTTTGTTATTATTCAAAATATTGAACCACTTTCACGATTCAACGAGAAATGTTTTAATCGAAGGTGCATCGATATCGAACGGACAATTCGCGGATGCGAAGTAAACTTATACGTTTGTTTCTTATTCGTTGCAAAATCTTCGATACAGCCGTTATGTTTTTTATAAAAATTACTTTGAAACAAACCAGTCGTGTTTCGACTTGCCTAAGTTCTATGTTAAATAAATAGAAGTACAGTGAATTCTCTCTCTCTCTCTCTCTCTCTCTCTCTCTCTCTCTCTCTCTAAAATGTCCGAAACTCGGAATTGAAAACTGTAATCGGCGAACATTGTTCGTACCTCGCGAGAGGTAATCTTTTTTTACAGTTGCCGACACCTCGTGAGGGAAGAGAAGAGAAGAAAATATCGTAAGAGAAGAAAATATTGTTGGAAAGAAAATATCAGTGCGGAGTTACGCTATTCGGGCTTACGTGCGACAAAAATTCGGAGGCGATATACCTCGATTCGAAGGCAATTCAGAGGCCACATTATCCGATTCGACGATCGTTGCGATCGGTCGCGAACCTTGTAGCTCCGCGGTTTTACTTACCTGACCCACGCTCGAACAGACCATTTCGCGACGACTCCCGGGAATTCGAGTCAAAGGAGTCGCACGCTCGACCGTCGCACCGCAGATACCCGAAATTTGGCATTCTAGGAAGAATTAACTGTACTAGCAATATTATATCTCAGGAATATAAATGTTGCAACGTTTCTTCGAATTTGTCGAGAATTGTGTCACACGCGAACCGACAGTGTTCTTCATCGATTAAAAAACACTTTTGTAGCTACTGAAACAACTGTGTTAAGGAGTACAAGTGTAGGATGTTTCTTGTCACTGGACGCTGATGTTCGAGAAACTAGGCGAATGCATCACCGATACGTGCGAGCAGACCTTGGCGAAACGGAGGAGACGGAAGAGTATCCTTTTCGTCGACCGTATCCGTTCGAGAACTCCTAATCGGCACTGTTTCCTTTGGAAAAACCGTCGCCTTTATGCCGTTCTCGCACGTAATCGGTCACCGAAAGTCAGCGCGGAGGATTCGCACGACGGTATCCGACGATAATTAATTCGAACGCGTTCGAATGTCACGATCTCGATAACGTACCTCGCGAAACGACACCTTTATACGTGGACCAGCGCCGTTCAAATTCATATACGGATAATTGTTTCCACTTTATATAGTAGCTATTGACAGAGACTCTCACTGGAAGTACATGCTTAATCTTATCGATAGAATCTGTTTGCGTTGATCTGTGTTCTTCGGTGTATCAGTAGACGGCTGATAGTGCGAACGAACAATTATATTTACTAAATTCCCTTTATCGTTCGAATAGACTGTTTACATTAAGGAGAGCTCAGAAAATTCTATGCCTGTCTCGTTCATTGCCGCGTCGTTATCTCACCTTGATTCTTACCCGATACACGATGAAATTTCATAATACGCGCACACATTAACAGCTATTTACCATGCTATTTCGGGATGGACGATCAGATTTTCTTCTTTCCTCGCCAGAAACGATCGAACGTAGCGCAATTCCATTGGTTAATAACATAATTAATGGAGAATTCAATTACGAATCGATTACGGAATAGAATTTTATTAGATCTCGGCTTGACTATGTTTTCGAACAGAATTTATTTGATTCAGAAGTTCAGCAATCTTGGGCGAATACTTCTGCGTCCATTGCACGTTTGCCGAAGAGACATCGATGGCTTGTTTCGCAGTCGCCGAGACTTCGTCGAGTTTCCCGAGATTTTCTTCGACAAACTTTTGTAACTGAAAAACAGAGATCAAGAGTGAATTTTAATGAAACTGTAGATATATTCGATACCTACGTAAACTGGAGAAATTTTCCGATATCTACGATGATATTTATGAAAGATATTGTAGAAATTTGCAGGCGGGCAACCGAATTTACAAACAGAAATTGAAAATAGAGATTAAGAAAATATCGAACGAACGAATAGGCGCGGTAATTTGCTCCCGTACCTTAGCAACATTTTACGCGATCGAAAATCGTAGTAATTCATACCTGTTCCGTTTGTTCTTTCGACGTAATCGAGTCCCCGATCGCTGCGATCGCTTTGCCCAGAAAAATGTAATCTTCCCTAAAATAACCGGAAATCATTTTTATCGCTAGACAGACACGAGTTAGCGATAATGAAGATACAAATCGCGGGTAGCGCGTTGTACATACGTGTTGATTAGTTTTTGTAAATTCTGTTTCAAGTATTGTAATACACGATCAGTGTTCTGCGCGTCCCCGTCCAAAACGCCGTTGATTACGGCGATCCTGTATTGTTTGCGGAGTCTCGATCCCTCCGATAGCGTCATCGCGAGATATCTATACGGGTACGAATTTTCAATTTTAATATTATTACGTACGTATAGAAGACAATTATTTAGATTTAGAAGCACATAATGCAATACGATTGCACACAAAAATGTAATATCGTTGTGAAACCATACGAATCTCTAAGTCCATACGATAATTCGCAACAACATTAAATTACGCAAAGTGCGACGAGTCGATGGGATTTGATCGTATAATAGATTAACCTCGGCTGAGATCTAATTCAAACTTGACTCGGACCTTGTCTAAATCTAAGCCCAGATCTATCTCAACTATTCGCGTTGTCGCGAAATATTAACATAGACCTATTTAAGAGCAGACTACGCGTTCTTCGATTCGAACACTGTTCATGGTATACGGATAACTTACTTATCTATCAAGTGCGCCTTCCCGGTGCAACCAAGGGCTTGGAGCAATAATTCTTGCTCGGTGTGCAGATCGGTTTGCCGCCATGTTTCCAACATTTTGTACCAGTCTTTATCGTTGCCGCTACGTATGCCTTCGCAGTAGACGAGACTTCTGACATCTTGCAATATCCTGCGCAATACACCATCAACGCGATAACATATTTTATTCAAACTTTGGTATGCTGTGCCAAATAAAATATTAGAATCTGTTTTCTTAGAAAATAACGGAACTAATTATTCGCGTTATCTGGAATGAAATTACGCGAGGAAAATAAGCTTGCGCGTGCAACGAAAGTTTGATAGTATAACTGCTGTTTTACATACGGTTCGTTGATTCTCCACTTGTCGAACAATTTTTGCGACATCTTTAAACAATGCGGGTTCCGCATCGAACAGGATGTCGATAGAATTAGCTCGCGTTGTAATTTCGTCACCAGATCATCGTTCGCGGACTCAACGAAACTTAATCGGTCGTAGATTGGGTCCAATAAACGCTTCGCGTGACTCTGCAGTCAAATTGCATAAATTTGTTAAAAATCTTACTTGTCAAACTAATTGCGTTTATTTATTATTATACCGGTATTATATTATTGCAGCTCAATTCGATACACTCTTAAAAAGAAGGAATGCAGACAGAATTTCAAACATGTAACATTATCGGTAGATTCTTTCGCCATCCAAACGTTGTAACCGTTATCTATCATCTTTTCCAATCGCATTTGCCATCTGACCAACATCAACCTCGTTCTTAATAACATCGTCGATAGCATTGCCATACTTGAACTTTGTCTAGGAAATTGCACGAGATTAAGCTGGGTGACGATATCGAACGCTTCGCTTGCTCCATGGAACTAGCTTTAAAGAATCAAGTTTCAAGGAATCTTTTCTCGAATAAGTTCGCTACAATAAAAGCGTTTTTTTCATTTTCAATAACGCGTGTCCACTCGATGGTCAATTGTTGGCACGGTTATCTATCGCTTCTTGAAAAGCAATATACGCGATCGCTTTTACAGTTCGTTAATTTCTTATCGATATTCTCGATGTTCCACATTCTCTATACTTATCCTATCTTTAAAACTTATTTCAAATTGCCTGGTACTTATCTCGAACGATTCGCGAACGTTCAAGCAGCGAGATACGTCTGACTCACTTGAAAAGCTCGATGCACTTCTGGCACGCTCCTCAGCCTGTTACTCAAGTATCTAAAGTTGTTAACAGCCGCGAGCCAGGGTTCGTAGTCGAGCTCTTGGACCAAGTAACCCGAGAGATCGAGCGGAATCGAGTAATCCAAATATCCGCTTTTGGCCAAATTGAAAGCGTCGTCTATCAGGGACGCTCTGTTCGCTTTGTGTATCTTCGAAAAATCTGTCGACCTCGAATAATCGATGAGCATTCGCCAATTATTTTCGTCGTAGTTCACTCGATAATATCCGACTTGTTGAACGTTGAAGACGACCCAATCCTCGGACGCGAACGGTCCGACGATCAGTCTTTCGCTTTTCGGTTTCAGCCAAGTCTTCGCGGCTGTACGAGAGAAGTCGGCGAGCGACGATCTAGTGGCAAAATTCAATGGTATCCACCACTTGTCCATTTTACGGTCCGTGTCGCACCGATCTATGTTTTGGCAAAATGTTTCTTGAGATATCGAAGCCTCCCTTTGCTCGTAATCTCGGGTTACAGTTACCAGAGGAAAACAGGATTGGTTCGTCCAAGAGTCCATTATTCGTTCGATCGACGTATCGGCTGGTAGGTGACCAGACTTATTCGCGGCGGACTGCAGGTGTTCGTACAGATCGTACGGTGTAGCTGCTCCGTATGATCTAAATTGGAACAAATATTGTGAAATGGTACTACAATTACGCGGCTCACGATCAGGGACGCGGTATGTTGTTCTTGCATAATTAATTTGCAGAATTTTTTCCACTCGAAAAGATAGGCCACGCTATCGATTTGTCGGTTGTTATTTTATTTACTAATTGTTCGCGTTATTTTATTATGCAACGCGAATCATTTTCTTTTATCTCTTTTTCTTTATATCCAAACGTCAAGGAATATAAGAGGGTGCTGTTCCGAAATTGGCTCGGCAAACTTTTGGAAACGATACGTTATAAGAAGGATGCATATCGCACTCACATGTCTTTCAAGTAGCTTCGTAAACCACTTTGAAACGTCGAATCTCCAATCGCATGGGCGAGCATACGTATCACCGACGCCCCTGGTGTTAAAGATACATTTGTTCGGTAAGATGCGCAATGAAAGAAATAAGAGGCAATCGCGTTTAAGTTAGGTCGGCTTAAAGAAACGTAAAACCGTGCTCTTTTCGAGGACCTTTTACCGTCCCTTAAAAAATGAACAAAGAAGCGTTTCGGGTTTACCGTACGTTTGTCCAGTGTACGTGCTTCTACTAAATTGCATGCAACAGATGTTAGGATATCGACGGTTCGATGAAATTTGGCAGACCGTTACGTAAAGCTACCGAGAAGCGATCCGCGAAGCCGTATCGTTGCAATCGTATACGAGACGGCAAGGACGCTGCGCGTGTCCTTTTTTATACCTTTTTTATAAGAGACGAAATCCAAGACAGCCTTGACGCTGCTCGGACTGCCCACGTTTCGACCGTTCAAGACTCTGGTGTGATTCGCAGAGTCCAAAAGCAGCGCCGGTTGCAGCATGTCGACTACGAATTTGTCCATCGTGTCCCAACTCGGTTGCAAAAAGGATAGAGCGCGGTACTGAAAATAGGAAGCGAATCCTTCTTTCAGCCAAGCCACGTTCCAGAAGATCGGCGTGACCAAGTTCCCGAACCAGGTGTGAGCGTATTCGTGAGCCATCGTGGCGAGACCGTTGAACACGTATCTCGTCGGCGTAACGGCCTTCTCGTGCAAGACCACGGACTCCCTGTACGCGATCATCCCCCAGTTTTCCATCGCGTTGAAATTGAAGTCGGGCACCGCGATCTGGTCCATCTTCGGCACCGGATTCTCGACGCGGAAATAGTCCTTCAGAAACGAATATATCGAGACACCTTGATTCAACGCGACGGATCCGCGTCGATCCATCGACTCTCGTGTCCATATCTTGAAGCTCGGCAAGGCCGCCGATGTCTCCGGGTCGAAATCATGGACTGCCCAACCAACGATGAACGTGGACATTCTCGGCGTCGGTTCGAACGTGGTCAGGTAATAGTTCGAGCTGTTCCTGTAGCTGTGCAGGAAAACGGGGATATAGTGTTTCTAGTTCCTCGAAGTTGATGCAGGAATGTTGAGAATATTTGTCGAAAATGCCGGGATAGTTCAACATTTAGCGTGGGGTAGTGGAACCGGTTACCGCGGGGTGACCAATTGCCACGCCTTTGGTTCGTTCTCGCGCATAATTCGCTTTGTATTTATCGGATACGACACATTAAATTGTCTCATTCTTTTGTTTCGTTTATTTTCAAATTTAAAATTATATCGATGTTCGAATTTCGTTATCCACCGTGCGCAGTTAATCCATGAAGCGAGACATTGCTATCTTAAAAACAACGAAGGATACTTACCTATATTCCGCCGTAGTTGCAACGTGAGTGTTACTTGTTACCAATTGGTTTCCCACGTGACCGATACGAAGGGTGAAAATTGCTTTCAAGTGGGGCTCGTCGAGACAGGGAAACGCGCGACGCGCGTACACAGGTGAAAATTGGGTGATCCCCATCCATCTAGAAATTGCTTTTATAAATGCGTCGAAGAGAGAGTACGATTGCAAGAAAGTTTTACCGAGGAAGGGAAACCATCCTAACGATGAAAAAGAATCGATTTTCTCCTTTTTTCTAATATATTATTAAAGTTTCGAGCGTATGGAATGTTGCGTCGAAGCGTTACGCGTACACGTAAACTCTCTCGAGTATCGAACGATTTCCTATTTGCTTCAAAAGCCAGAAATGTGGCACAAGTTACGATTACGTTATTCCATTCGATAGACCAGAGAATAATTTTAAGTAAAATCAAGCAGCGCAACTGTTACCGTCGAAGCACGTAACATGCCCGTAGTTGAATATTTACGTTTCCTCTTTAAATCGATTTTGTTGGAAACGTCTTCGTTCGATCGAAACGTCTACTTAAAAAATCATCAATTGAAAATGACAAATCCAGATGTATGTTTAAAACAGAATCGAACGATTCTGAGAGACTCGTACTTTTCCATTGTCAACGAATTTTTTTATCGGACAAGAAGATAACGGAGATTATTAGTTAAAGATGGTTTTATAACAGTAATTTATTTACTTCGTTTCCCCGTTCTTGACGTAGGAGCTCCTGTAAAATCCGAACACGTCGTCGCGCGTTTCACCTTCGAAGTGGAGTTCCAACGTGTAGACACCGGGTGTCAATCGCGTTGGTAACTTCAGCACGTGAAATTGCCTCTTTTTCTCGGAGAGCTGATCGGCAATTGGGACGGTAACTAATTTATTTTCTCCATCGGTCCTATAGCAGAGCTTCGATTTTTCTTCCTGTATAGTTAAACCGTCGTTGTGGACCACGACGGTGCTGGTCGGTTGAATTATTTTTAACATTATCGTCACGTAGCCTCGATAAACGAAATCGTTTAAACCCAATCGAGTGAATATCCAAAGGTCGTAAGAAATTGGTACGATTTCCTCGGGTAGCCTGTACGAACGATAATCGTCGACATTTTCGATTTCACCAGGAATCGTCGAACCTTCGAGGTATTTACTGCTCGCTATAATCAAAAGTAACACGGCAAAACATCGTATACACGCCATAACAACACGATCTAGGTGGAAATCACAATCACTGTTCCAGGAAATCACTGTCGCGCGTTGGCCTCTCGCAGCCCTTGGCATAAATCACGAAAGCGACAGCGATACCAATTATTTGTATCGTTTGAATTTCCTTTATCTTCTGTACACAATGCCTAAGATAAGTAATCTCCACTTATGACGTTTGATCGTGACCAAGGGAAAACGAGAAAACTATTCGCCTAAATTGTCATAAAATTTTGAGCCGATAGTAAACGCGCACACTTTTCGTACGATCTAGTAATACAGTTTTCGCGTGCAAAGATATCGTCTAATTTATGCCACTTTATTAACGTCAACGTTCGGCATACGTTGGACCAGAAATGTAATTTCTTTCGGCACGCGTTCTTCTTTAAGAAAAGTCCAGCTGGACGTTGTCGTATGGGCTACGGCGATGCCCCCACCCAGAGGTCTAAACAATTCCCGTTACATTGCGAAGTATTTAATACGTGCGGAGGCCTGATTCATGGTCTACACGTTGCACGGTGTGATCAACGATAAACAAAAGTAAAACCTACAAAGTTTGAAATTCATGGCCTGTGTTATATACGTGTACATATTAAACTAAAATCTATGCTCTAGTTAAATCGGTCCTCGAATCATCCCAGTCTCGCTCCATAATTCTCATTCATTCCGAGAATTGCCACTCGCCTGGAATGCCCGATCGTATCGTATTTATTTAACGGAATGAAAAACTCACAAATACGATGCAGGAGTATTGTATTCCAAGTAACAAAATCGCAACAAAAATGTTGTGCGATCTCACAGATCTCGAATGCAATTAAATAGATTAAATTCGTCAATACCATAATTTATCTTCGATTTACTTGTTCGTTTCAGATACGGTTATCGTTATAGAATTTAATATCGATAGCGTTCTTTATGGAATCGGGCGAACGCTTTATTACAGTTATCGGTGAGCTCCTCGGATTAAAACGTAGATTAATTCATTGTCCGTTCAATGGAATTTGGATTCCGCGAGAATCAAAAATCGAAAATACACTGTACGAATATTTTTTACGCCGACTGTAAGTACAATGCTTTTATTAATAATGAGATGTTAGTCGCGCGTGATAACGAATGATCGATTGGCGAAGACATCGAACGAATCATAAAAACGATGCTATCGTAATAATAATAATAAGATGATGATGCTAGAAGTCTGAAAGGAAAGTGCTCGTTCATTTATCGCTTACAGAAAAAAAAGAAAAGAAAACAAGAGCACTTCGATTCATAAGAAACGATATTGCGACATTATGTTTCAATAGTGTTCTGTAGAAGCGAACGACATCGAGCAATTCAAAAGTAATTTAAAAACTTTTCCACTCGTTAGATTACGCGAGAATGCATCTAAAACACGATGAAAAGTTTGCGAGAAGAAAGCTTTGAGTTTCCAAGCGAACGCAAACAGAATGTTTTTACCTTAATTGCATTTGCAGGCGAATAATTGGTAATCTTTGCCGTCGAAGTATCTGCGTCGTGTTCGATTTGAAATTTGGCTCGATCACTCGATTACGATCGCCAATAGCTGACCTGGTAATTCTGTGGTGTTTCATCGTGAAAAAAGTAAGCAACGATTGGAACGCTTTTGCGAAATATGTTTCTTTTTATTCTGCATAAAATACAAAACGTTCTTGGCTTAAACGCTAACCTTATCGTCCATAAATTTGTCGTATTAAATTTGCGCGTACGCCATCGGTATACGAAAATACGACCAGCTGATCGCAGCATAACTTAAAATAATTTAATTAAGGCAACTCTGTTATTATTCTAGGCATTAGTCTTCGTCGTATATATTACTATTCACCACCCAAATATAATCGTAAAGCTTACGTTTTATGCTACGTCGACTCGCGATGTTACAATTACACGTTTACAGTACGTGATTCCAATTGATGGACTCCGTTCGAAGAAACTCGAGACTAATGGACGTTAACACTACCCCGACTAGAGAAGCAAGCCATTCAATTTTAAGCAGAATGCAATTTATAATTACATCGTATGCTACATACGCTGCGCACCTGTGTGCCTTTCGAACATAATTCGTGTTTACGGTTGCAACTGCGCGGACAGAGTTATCGGCGACTACCTAAACTGTAAATTTCCTGGAGGAACTTGTGTAATCGACAACGTCTTTTTCGAAAAATCGTCAAAATTCGTCGCGTATCTTGTTCGTCTAAAAGTTATCCCGACCGAAAGGTATCCCTTTGAAACGTTCGCGCGTTCTCGCCCCCTTATTCTATGTCTGTATCTTAAATTACATTTCATTATCCTGACTTTTTGATTCTACGTCATGCGTTGCATGTATAGTTATTTAGGCAAAACTATATGCCTAGTCGGATAAATCGTAAAACGTATAGGTCCGTCTGAAATGCGAATTATTGCTTTCGGTTACTGAAGCGTTCGATTCGAGTGTATAGTATGCGTTCAAGCACGAACAAGCATCTTCCTAAACCAGGCACGGGTTTCTGTTCTATCGAGAGCAACAAAGCCATTCCCACTTGGATGAAAACGTTCGGCTCGGAATTACTTGCACGCGACAAGCCTGTGTCGAGGGCTACGCCTCCCGACACTCGATGCCTTTTGCGATTCGGAACACACAAGGCGCGTGTACTCGTTGCTTTTTATGCGTGTGCGTGTAGCTTTTAGCTGGGCGGGAGGCGTAGCCCTCGACGTCACCGTGTTGCGTGCACGTAATTCCGAGCCCTGACCTAAAGCATTCGCAGGGCGAAGATCGTGGTTTGTCCATGCCTGGTTTATATTGAGACATGTTAAAAATGGAATGAACATTGAGAACGAAAAATTGTAGTCCAACCTTTGCTTCGAGTTACCAATAATCGTGACTTTTTCCGAACCTTGGCAGATAGCGGTGCACATAAATCAGATCGATAATGTCGCGATCTTCGAGCATATATAAAATTCGATCGACGCAAGTTACGTGCATCGCTGTTGAGAATTGTTATAGCTCAGGGGGAGTTGTGCTCGTTAATAATGTAAAGCTCTTATTTCGACGACAAATTTTCTCACTCTACAGTTTCATTCTATTCCAGCATGTTGAGTCATTCTTTCGACAGGATACCCACCTGTGGGCGAACACGTATATCAATGAATTATTTATGAATATTTTCAGTCTGAGTTTCGTAGTATGCGTACCTTTAACTGATTTTCCATAATATACATATATATATATAGATAGACGGTATCGTTATTCTTCATTCCACGCAACTGCTTATAGCGTTATTCCCTCTATAAAGTATTGCTTTCACGTAGAAAAACTAATCTAATACTGCGTAATACTAACTGCCTCGTAAACACGCACAACTCGAGAAATTGTGCTCGTTCCGAACTGAAATTGATTTAGCTATAAAAATGAAAGTTTACAGAAACATCCGCAATCTATTTATGCCGATTATAATACGTTGTTGCAAGAGTGTAACAATAATTGCTACAGTCCTACAAAGTGTGTAATGTTACAATGTTACAACAGATTACACACGGAAATCTAAAACACCGGATTTACATAAGGAGAGGGATGAACGAAACAGGGGCGAAACTTTCTTTTTATTCTTTTGTTTCAGAACGCAGCAAATGTATTCTAAATACATTTCTCGTGTTATTCGTTGCCGAAGGATTCCAAATAAAAGTAAGGTGTAAAAAATTTCATGAGAGTGAGATTTCAACGTTAATCGTTTGCCTATAAATATATATCTAAATAAACTTTATAAACGATAAATGCTGACCGAAAGCGAAAGAAGATAAATTTGTTACACATATTTCTTCCAGTTACATTTGCATTTATCTTTGGCCCACATACATTTGTCAGAAAATCTCTTAGGTAGCTTGACAAATTTTTGTTCGAATATCAGATTCATCGAAGAGTTCCGCCTTTACGTTTAAAAACAATGCGGATGCATCGTATGCGCGCGTTAGATCGAACAATTAACGATAAATAAATGCTGTTACGAAAGATGGACTCTTTTCGTAACAAAAGAAATGACGACAGAACTTTCGCTAGCATACTTGTCACCTAAGTATATAATATCGAAAATTTTGTTTCTTCGCATAGCGGGATAAGACGCAAGGAAAAACAATTTTCGCAACAAATCGGAACAAGAACGAAATTTGCGTTTTCGTTAATAATAGTCTTCTATCTAAAAAATACTTTATTGTAAAATCACGTTCTTCGTTATAATCAGACTGCGGACCTCGTGTAAAATCACATTCTTCGAAAGCAATTACAGCGGTTCGAACCAGAGTAGAAATACACTCCCCGTTCCTCCCGGAAATCTGTGACACGATAAATGCATGAAATCCGCAATCCAGATATAATATTACTGACCACCGTATATTATGCGCGTACGGCATTGCTTATTAAACGAGACGGTAGATCGCTGCCAAGATCGATAATAAATAAGCACACGAACAATTCGCTTCTATAATATGCATGTACAGTAGCCGACGCATATATGTATATATATCTATGTATACGAGAACGATGGTAAACTCGAAAAATTTCTTTTCTACGCGTGCTCGCGAATTTTTACATTTTACTCTTTGATTTGAAAATAAATATATGTACTTCTATCGCGAATGTTGCGTACGCGGTTGTTCTCGAAAGCACAAAGTCCAAATAAATGATTCGGTAGAGAACGCAACTACGCGCGTATGCGAGGAAAGCACTGTAACAACAGTGCCGGTTGTTACTTGGCTCACGATTGCAAGTAACGCAACAGCGGGTTCGTTCTTGCCGCGAAAGTCCGAGATTTCTTTACAAACGAGCCACGCCGCGATCACAAAGCCGTCTCCAACGTGGGAGCACTGGGACTACGAGGGACATTTTGCGGCACGATGTTTTGCGGCGACTCCGATCTGGCCCGAAATATCTGCCTGACGTAGGTAGTATTCTGGCCGCCGTGGTTGCCGGTCGACGGTGTGCCAGCTAAGAACTGTGCCCTGGCTAATTGGTTGCTGATCCTCCTCGACTCGAACGCGTTTATCGCTTTCTGACACGACGGCGTCAGCTGTGTACCGTTGTACGAATACTGAATTGCTGGATTGACAGCACCGTGCTCGGAATACGCATCCGAGACGCATTGGACCGGCGACGCGTTTCGATCGGTACCGGTTTGCGGATGAACGGTTGGACACTTGTCGCCGGCGGACAATGCGCCATCGCGCGTAGCCGGCTCCTGTCTTCGACCGTGCGTCTCGATCTCCTTCATGGTCGTCGCATCGAAGCGTCCTACACCGTCCAGTGGCAGTACGTCGTCCGAATGATCGGCGACGCTGCTTCTCGGATTCGAGCTGCTCAAATGGCCGAGGAGGTCGCTGCAGAGGTCGATCTGCCTCCTCGCGTTCAGTCTTGATATCGGGGAAGTGTTTTCGGGGGACGGTTTCATAGCTTTCTCCTCGGCCGCCGTGTCCTCTATTATCGTGGACGACAGTACATCCGTTCGCGGCGTCTGGAACCTCCACGCCGACCGGGGACTCAGAACTTTGGCCAAAGGAGTCGTGTGCGGAGTCGTCGGCGACGACTGCTGTTGCTGCGACTGCTGCTGCCGCGACAGTTTCAACTGCTCCGCCGCCGACAGCCTCGTGGGACCGCTCTTGACACTCTGTTGAAGCAACAAACGTTTGAAGTCCAGTCTGGATGTTCCTGGCGACGACGACTGAACGTTCTGAAGAATCTAGAATCAAGACGAGCTGCTTTTTAAATTCCGGACGCGCGAAACGATAACTTAACATTTCTTTCGAAGTTGATTCGCTGATCGCAGCGAGCTGTGTTGGTTTTGCGAGCAGAACTCGAACGCGACGAAGGGGATAATTTTAATTTTTAATATAGACGGTCGCGAAATGTTCGCGGCTTTCTTCAGGATTCGGACGAGAACTTGTAACCGGTATTAACACGTTGAATGCCACGCCGGTTTTACAGAAATTGTCCGTGGCGGGGGCCACCGTTCGAGTCGACGATGGTAATAAATACAAAATTTTAGATATTGACATTTGTTTGAAATTATATATATTTCTATCAATTTGGGCGCGCCGGTGGCCCCCATGGCGTCACCGCCAAGTTAAGTGCCGGTCACCGGTGACCCCGTGGCATTCAACGTGTTAACCGAGCGTCGAACGGGATCTAAACGTACGCGTACATACCACTGGTGATTTCTGTATGTCGGAGCTCCAACTGTGCCTGTTCCCCGGTGGTAGTTTCGCTATCGACTTCGTCGACCCGTACGGGGTAGGGCTGTCGCCGTCGTCCTTGATGTTCAACCTCTTCTTCGACTTGTGTATAGCGGCGAACAATTCTTCGTTCGACATCGTGCTCTTCGTCGGCGACAGGACCAGGTTGGTCGGCGTGCTTCTACCGGAATTCGGCGTCGGCGACGGGCAATTTGGGCTGCCGATCAGCGCCATGCGATCGGCGATCGTCGGCATAGTACGTCCGATTGGCGTGGACGTCGCGAAACTGTTCTCGTGACTCTGCCTGGTTGGGGAAATTGGATTGTGTTGCAAAGCATCGGCACTGGAAGTTTTCGTAACGGGATCACGAACAGGCGAGGACCCGAAGAATCGATACCCGAGCGCGGTCAGTCCTAGCGGTGCGGCGAATCTAGAATAAAACGGAAACGGCTGGAAGACGATTTCTTTCGACGCGTAAGATCTTCGAGAGTAATCGCGATCGTGCGAAACGTTCGTCGTAAAATGATAAAAGATCGAATAAAAAAAATCAGAATAAGTTCCCTACAAACTGTCGTGATTTTTCACGCACGTGTTCAGTATCTAGAAATATTCTTGCAAACGTTTCGAACAGTTAACGACAAAAATACGAGTCGCGATATTCGCTTTCGGTTTTCAAAACGAAACTATGCGAACACGTCGGTGCGTTAAACGGGTCTATCGGCGTTAGTTTCGCCCAAATACCTGTTTCTGACGTCCACGATCGCCGGTTGCTGTCGGTTTGCCATCGCCCTGGTATTCGCGTCGAAGTGTTCCAAATGTTTCCCGTGTAGATCCACTTGGGACTCGAACTGGCCGTGCATCGCGTACATGTGCATAGCGCTCAAGGAACCATGACCGAGGCCCCTGGTGATATCCGGCGTGACGCTGCGCGGCGGCTCGACATCCCTCCGCGGTCTTCTAGACGGCAGCGTGTAAAACTGATGACTGGCGGCGTGCCTCCCCGACGCGCAGTATTGCTGATTCCTCGCGTTGTGCATGCTGACGATTTGCCGCTGCTTGCAAGCGCGCTGGTACTCCCAGTTCGCCGCCTTGTTGTTGTTGTACGCATTCTGCTGGGGGTCGTACACCATCTGCTCCTGGTGGTATCCTTGCGGCCCATGGTTTTGCTGCTGCTGCTGCTGCTGCTGTTGCTGTTGCTGCTGCTGCTGCTGCTTCTCGCACTGCGTCAGTTGCCCCGGCGCGGTTTGCGCGTTCTTCAAGGCATCTTGGATCTTGTGCTCTTTCTTGCAGTCTTTTGGCTTCGGGGGCGAGTCGTACGACGGCGGCTGAATTATCCCGTGAGGGGGCACCGAATCGATAGCCAGCAACGTGTTATCTGAAACGAAAAGATCAATGACTGGCCGTCGCCTGCACTCGAGATTGCGTGGGTCGGGATCTTCGCCTCGTTACCATCGATCGTCAAACTATCGGCCAAAAGGAAGTTTGCGGATATTCTATGTAGGTTGCTGTTATGCTACTTCGATAGGAAACTATCGCTTATCCTATTTGTTAGACGCTTCGCTCCGACTTACGTTGTTAAGGGTTCACCGAGAGAGTTTCAAGATTACTGTAAACGAGAAGGAATTCGGTGAAGAGAATTAGGGTTGACGGAACGGGTCCGAACACCGTTCTCGGGAGAACGATCTAAACGGGAATGGAGGAGAATAAAAAGCGTTCGCGGAAAATTCGATCGACCGAATCGCGGCGGTAGGCATGCCTCGGCTCTCGTTGACGAACGTAGATGTTTCCGGGGACGTTGTAATTTTGTCCAAACGAAAATGAAACGTTACCTGTATTATTCGTTTAATTGACGAAGCTGTTGGTTACGACGGAACGATTCGGTTTCGCATACGTTGCCGTTTAACGCGAAAGCAATATTTGCACCCTTGTTTCGGCAATTTTCAGCGTCTCGCAACGTTTTCCATTACCGTGGGATTAATCTCTAGCTCGAACTTTCGCGAAACGATCAAGCGGAACAACGAAATTGTACAAATTTTCAGGACACCTGGTGCAGCTCTCCCGTAATTAACCGACTCGAGAGGGGTGTCCGGCTCTCTTGGCTGGACAAGAAACACGCGAGCGACGATGTTTGGTCGAATCACTGCCATACTTTCGGGATAGAGCATAGAAGGCCCATACTCTTATTGCCGGGCCGCGCATGCGCTCTGTGCAGACGAATTAATTAGGGGTCAGCTACGATTTGTTAACGGCATTATTGTTAGTAAAATACGAACGAAGCAAGCGACAAATATATCGTGAATGCAAGCATGCGGTAAAAGCATGAAAACCAAACTATCGATACGTCGGTGGAACCAGATATGGAATGTGCCACTGTGATCGTCGAATCGATCGGAGTTCGTCCCAAAAGGGGAGGAGTAAAGACGGTTTGATCGTCGAACGAACCGAAGGACGTTCCATATCGGACCCTCGAGTTTCTTTCTTTGGCGAAGTGAAAAATAAAATGTACTCACCGAATAGGAACTATGGTACTATGACATATATGTGTGCTACTAGCGAGGGTTGCCACACGTGTACGAAGTGCATTTTTTTTTTTCTCTAAAACTAGCACGTACGTGTACGTAGAACGATGCGAACGAAAATAAACGACGAATCGCAAAACGAAAGACGGATAAAGAAAGAGGAAGAGAGAAAGACGAGGGTGTAAAGATGGAAAGATAGAAAGAATGAGAATGTACGGTGACTCGTAGTATGTACAACGCGACAGCGGTTCTCAACCAGTGGAAAGATAAGTGGTATTTGCCGGATCAATACGTACCAAAGATTTTACCTACGCTTCGATATAACTCTACATGCTAGCGTATCGTTTCTTCTCTCGTGAACGTAGCAGATACGGTGTCGGCACGAAGGAATAACTTTTTCAAAAACCAACGTTAGAACCCCTCGAAAGTGAAAATCGAAACGAATAATAAGAATATCTTTTTGAACGAGTAGTTTTTTTGTAAAATCTTAAAAAATTTATCAAGCAATTTATCAAAACACTGATATGAAAGAGGTTGTCCCGTTTAAAAATTACCTCTTAAAAATTTGCTTCAATCACTTATCCCTTTAGAATCGGTTAATGCTTGCAGGAAAGTGCCACTAATTGGCAACATCAACGTATTCGGTAGTCGACAACTAATGTCTATAAAATGGTAGAGGACCGCTGCAGCAGGGGATGGTCGATGCACAATGGTGGCTAGAAACTCGATCGCTCGCAATTAAAGACGATACGTTGTATAAAAACGTTCGCGTTGAAGCCAGATATCTTTCATTGCAAGCGTAGGAACGACCGTTCTGCTATTGCATAACGACTGTCGAGTCTTGTTAGAATCCTGATCGATCTTATCGAGTCTTGTTACAGTCCCGTCGAACGGGATCCCGATCGATCCTAATAATACTCTTCGATCATTTCTTTGTACTTCGTACACATATCATAGTTTGCATAATACGAGAAAGTAGCAGGCGTTACACTCCTGTAACAACAAAGGTGTGCCGGCGTCGAACTCCACCGTGACGAGAAGGTTAAACGTGAACAAATAGATAGTGCGTGCGAAACGAGTGAAACAAGTGAAAACAGAGAAACACAAATAACAAAACACATCCGTAATTTCTATCAAAGACTGTCATCTATTCACATACATTCCTCCCGGATTTGAACGACACATATTTTGCCGGTATATACAATCGAGAAATAAAATACGCTGGTCATTGGCCAATTACAACACGAAATATACATATTTATAAAACATACAGTGCACACGATTGAGAGATGAGTCTTACAAGTAACACGTGCGTATATTATGTACATATGCATACGGTACACTTGACCCCATAGATTCGTATAACCGACTCTGCAATGGTAAAAGATTGCATAACCGATTACAAGAGGGAAAATCTATTTTCGTCGATCGACGATATAATCTTTGCATCGCCGATTCGATTGAAAAAGAATCGATTTCGCGCGGCTACGTTATCGGATTGTAATTTTCTGCCGTAAATGTGGTTTACTCGCAGCCGATTGGAGCCTGTGTCGCACGTGTATCGTTTACGCTCGCACGAATCCATGGGGCCAAATATACGAGGTACTGCATGCTCCTCTACCCAGGTTGTAAGTAGTCCTCCCGATATTAGTTGCAAGCTGATTAATTCTTGCTGCAGTCGGATAGACACAAGGAAATGACGTGTCAGTGACATGTTATATACATAATACTCATTCATTGCACGGCTATGTTAACTCGTCACGTGAACTCGTAATCGAGACGGTCGTTTCCACGTTCCACGTTCCGAAAGTTAATTAACAGGCGAGCTTCAAGCGTCCGTGCGTAGAGCACGTGGGTAACAAAGTGAAATGGACTTTCGTATGCATTTATATATATATATATATATACAGTGATACAGGCGTGATGCAACGGCGCGCGATGCTTCGGATCGAAGAGCTTGCTAAGATCTTGCGAAAAGACCATCTTCTCGTACCGATAACTATTTAATTTTTACCGTTTTCTTTATTCGTTAAATATTTGCTGTCCTAAATTTATTTATTTTTTCCAGCCTTTTCAGGCAATCCCTTTATCGCTGAAACGAGGAATCAATCGGGGGAGGGGGGGGGGCTCGAATTCGTCGGTCGACGCGATAAAGAAAATGATAATTTTCAAAAGTTTCACGTTCCAAATGTTCGTGTCGGGAAGCAATAAAATATGCCTAAGTTATTAACGCGCGAAAATAAACCCGATAACAAGATACCACTGCATTTTTCGATTCGAACGAACGCGTGCGGCGATCGAAAACACCGCGCGACGATGCGTTTGAAGTTAGTTCCGCGGGGTGTTAGTAAACGCTACTTACAACGAGGGGCGAGCGAGCACACATCGGACTAACATGCGGCACGGCAAGTCGGGGCACACTCGCATCGACAACGCATGCCAAAACGCAACAACGTGACACTACAATGTAACCAGATTCACGGCGAAGGCTGCCGGTACAAGTATAGGTCTCGCGCGACAAGGAGGCACCTTTGCTTTCACGTTCCCCCTCTTACCAGCTGCCCCACTGCCGCGGCTATCGGTCGCTATTGGCCGCGAAAACGATACGGAAGCGTGGCAGCTGGTAAGAGGGAGAACGTAAAAGCAAAGGTGCCTTCTTGTCGCGCGAAGACTATACGAACATCGAAGATTCATGGAAGCATATAACTTAACCCAGTAACGATCGGCCCAATATTTTATTGCAATTATTCCTTGCGATTATTTTATACTCATTCCCACGCAGTGCAACGCGAATTATTTGCAATTAATGCCTCGTCACGATCGATTGTTTTAAGCTTGAAACGATATCCATCTTGGAACTTATTGTTAACAGATAATACGTGGACAGCCCTTTCTGATAGAACACCTCCCACGAGGAAATCGCATCTATTTACAGTAACTTTTCTCCTTTCTCGATGAAAGAAAACATCGACGTCGAATGTCGAAAATGTTATGCATCTCTTCTCATCTTTAGAGACGGTCTTCTCGAATAGAACGTATTATGCGATACGTTCACTGTCTTCCATTGGCTTAGACGTGGTAAAACGTTAGCTGAAAATATTTATATTTGGTTGACGTTTCCGATGTAACGTTTAAACGGTATACAGGCTGTTTCTGGATTAAATCGACAAACTTTGAGCATAAATTTGGGGTAAATTTGGCGATTTAACCCCGGAACACCCTGTACACTGTCCCCTAATAAATGTACCATTATGATTCACGTTTGCTTCGAGTTTCTTGCGTGCGTTCAATAGAAACTCGATTACCAAAACTCCAAATTGATTACCGAAGCATCGGGCGAGACGACGCGTTCAACGAAAAGTGTTGGCTGACTGTTATCGATACGATAAAGCCAAGACGTTTGTTTTCATATAGAATGTTTTTGTTTTGTTTATCCTGCTCTCATAATACAGTGGCATTCTTCGTCGAATGCGATACCTCCGAGTTATTCCTCAGCATTTATACGCGAGATTCTGTTATCGCAACTCGTGAGTATTACTATAAAATAACACGAGGCAATAAGCACATATTTTATGATTGCAGCTGAACTCGCTGAACGAATAGATCGAATACGAAACTAAAAATGACATTGGAAGAGTTTAGGGATATTCTCTAATGTAATTTATATTTTTCACAATTGACTTAAATCATTTTTATGTTGCACAAAGACCCACGGTCTACCGATAACTATGTGGAAACGGTAAGTCGAAGAAGTCCGTGTCGAGAGTTTATCGAGCAACAGAATTCGGATGATTTTCAAGTTCGGCAATAACGGATCGACAACGCGGCATGGTAAAGTATTTTCCCGAAGCGAGTT